TATGCTGTCTCTTTTGATTTTGCAGCTCATACAGCTAGAATGAATACCATGTATTGTTTTAATTTAAGGAACTGATTGACTCTCTTTAGAGATGTATTTTTTTTGTGTCTGATTATATGCAGAAGTAGTCTGCATGTGTCATAAAATTCTGCTGATATTTGAGGCTGCTGAGTTCTGATTTTTTTTTTGCATTACTTTTTCCTTCCCTTGTATTTTCATCATAAAAATTCATTTCCATAACTGGAGGACATTTCATTGACAGTGACCAGTGAAATCTTTTGAAGTCAAGGGTGGGTTTTTTAAAAGTATTTTTAATGAATTTTTTTCTGACCAGGTTTTGGAAGAAAATTTGCTGTGAACATGCTAATACATACTAATACAATATATGTAGGATGTAGAGTATTATGGTATGGTATTTGCCTTATTTTTGGGAGTTAGAACTGCAAATCTTATTACATCAATTGCATTACAAAGGCAAGCAGGTTTGGACTCAACAACCTCAAAAGTTTGAAGTGTTTTACTAAAAAATAATGCCATTTTCATTCAAGAAGGTAATTATGTTATATGCAATATATCTCTAAGATATGTAATTTACATATAAGACAAACAGGATTTATACATTGTTCAGTAGAACTGAGTAAAGATGCCTGAATATCTGAGTATTTGAACTCAGACTTGATTTGATAAACTAGCACAAGTTTATTATTGTCTTAATATCTATTTATTTAGTTTTCTTCAAACAGTGATCACATAAAACTTCAGTAACGTACATACATTTTAATGTAGTTACTATATGGTAGAAGGCTGACTGTTTTAAGAGGATGCTTTCTCCACTGTAAGTAAACTCAAGTGTGACTGCACCCTTCAGAAGGACCATGTGTCAGGTAACCACAAAAACCACCTGTGTTGTAAGCATATCTACAAAACCAGAACTCTTAAAGCTGGAAGCAGGCTACGGAGTTAATATAATCATTGAGGGCAACCCAAAGATGTGAACATTTTTATGGCATTTCAGAAGTCTCAGGGCCCCCCTTCCCTCAAGACAACTCTGAAACCTAGCATTTACAAAATCCAGTTATTACTTCAGGTTCTGCACAGTCATCCAAAAAAGTCCCCCACCATTGTTTATCAAACCAGAAAGCATTTTTTCTGGAGAAGATAGGCAATTTTAATAGAAAATAATTTGCTGAGCACAGTGGCCTTCTGTCTAGCTGTGAGCAGCCTAGTGCAGTTATTGTGTGTTTTTTTGGTTTTGTTTCTTCTTTAATTCTGTAGTTTGTCACTACTCCCCACACGTCTTTCCTTTGTGACTTTCATCACCTAAATCACAACATCAGCATTACTTACAGGGATAATCTGTGTATTTATTGTAAGACAGATGAAAGATAAAATACCGAAGCGTGTGCCCTTTCTCTACACTTTTCTAATTTATGCATATTTTCAGTATTTCCTTATGACAACTAGTTTGGGTTTTTTTCTTATGGTAAAGTTAGTTTTTATCATAAAGTTATTTGCTCTCTCTTTTTTTTTTTTTCTTTTTTTTTTTTTAGATTGACTGGTTTATAGATATTTAAAAGCAAAAGTAATGTATAAACTTTTCTAAATTGTTTTATAACATTAAATGATTGCCTTGGTAGATTTGTTAGATATGTGCTCTGAGAATGCCAATACATTTGATATTAAAATTATGTCCAGAAGTTGCTGATTGTGACTGTTACCCTTCTTTTCCCAGCTTCCACAAGTAGCTAGTGGGCAGTAAGATAAGCCATCTTGCTGCTTTTAGGGTAAATACACAGTATGTGTCTCTTAACCTACATTTGTATCACCGTGATCATTTGTTCTCCAGTCCTTATAAAGGCAAGCAGCTAGTTCACAGCTGCTTGTGGCAAACAAGGCTGCTTCTTGACTCAAGAGCCGTACAGTTGTTTTCTGTAGTTAGGCTTGGTAGTCTTGGCAGCCTGAATGACTAGCTTGGGAAATGCCTGGTTCCCCAGCTGCAACCCACACCGTTGCAGCTATTTGCATGTAGCAGATACGTGGTGAATACTAGGAAGTGTCTGTGGAAAAGGGTACGCTCCGTGTGCCTTTGTGCTTCCTTTTTAGTCGCTTGAACTCCCCAAAGACAATATTTTTAGCATAGATAAGGCACCAGGCTGGCTCATGAAACTTTCTACAAATCTCCTGCATCTCCATTTCCTGTATTTAGACTTTGTGTAACTGAAATGGTGAAGTGACAGTGATGCTTCCAAGTGAACCGGTCTTTGTAAGGTTCTTCACACTACAGTGTGTCATTTTGGTTTCAAGGCAATGAATTATTGTACTCAAAGTGTTAAATGTAGCTATCAGTTTCTTCAAAAAGACCTGATACATTCTGGCTAGGTGAGACCAGAAACTGGCAGTGTGCCCAGGTGGCCAAGAAGGCCAACAGCATCCTGGCTTGTATCAGGAATAGTGTGGCCAGGAAGAGTAGGGAAGTGATCCTGCACCTGTACTTGACACTGTTGAGGCTGCATCTGGAGTGCTGTGTTCAGTTCTGGGCCCCCCACTACAGGAAGGACATTGAGGTGCTGTCCAGAGAAGAGCTGCCAAGCTGGTGAAGGGCTCAGTGTTGGGACCATTTCTGTTTAACATCTTTATTGATGATCTTGATAAGGACATAGAGTGTAGTATCAGTAAGTTTGCAGATAACACCAAGCCAGGCGGGAGTGTTGATCTGCATAAGGATAGGGAGGCTCTACAGAGAGACTTGAATAGATTAGGTTGTTAGGTTGATGTTAATGGTCTGGGCTTCAACAAGGCCAAGTGCTGGGTCCTGCACTTGGGCCACAACAACCCCAAGCAACGCTCCAGGCTTGGGTAAGTGTGGTTGGAAAGTGTCTGGCAGAAAAGGACCTGGGGGTTCTAACTGACAAGGGGCTGAATATGAGCCAGCAGTGTGCCCAGGTGGCCAAGAAAGCCAATGGCATCCTGGCTTGTCTTAGAAATAGTGTGACCAGCAGAAGTAGAGATGTAATTGTCCCCCTGTACTCAGCACTGGTGAGGCCACATCTGGAGTGTTGCGCCCAGTTTTGGGCACCTCAGTTCAAGAGAGATCTCAAGGTGCTGGAGCGAGTACAGAGGAGGGCAATGAAGCTGGTGAAGGGCCTAGAGAATAAATCTTATGAAGAATGCTTGAAGGAGCTGGGAATGTTTAGTTTGAGGAAGAGGAGGCTGAGGGGAGACCTCATCAGTCTCTACAACTACCTGAAAGGTCATTGTAGAGAGGTTGGTGCTGGTCTCTTTTCACAGGTAATTAGTGACAGAACCAGAGGGAATGGCTTTAAGCTGCAACAGGGGAGGTTTAGACTGGACATTAGGATTTTTTTTTTTCACAGAAAGAGTGGTTAGACACTGGAATAGGCTGCCCAGGGAGGTGATTGAGTCACCATCCCTGGATGTGTTTAAGGGTTGTTTGGATGTGGTGTTGGTGGATGTGGTTTAGGGGAGAACTTTGTAGAGTAGGGTTGATGGTTGGATTCAGTGATCCCAAGGGTAGTCAGCTTGACAGAGCCAGCCTAGGTGAACAGTGCTGGTTTGACAGACCCAAAATGTCTGTTTTTAAGAAAAACTGTTTGGTGGTGTTAGAGTAGCTCAGTGGTTTAACCTAAAGAGTAATTTAGTAGTTTTGTGGAAAAATAAAGGAAAATATGTTGTTGTTTTGAAAAAAATCTACTCAAGTCTGTGAGATGTTAGAAGACAGAGGTTAAAATCAAAGGTGGTTTTATTTGAATCCTGTGAGTGTCCTGTGTGTATCACAATCAGGAATTATTGGTGTTACCTGAATTGTTAAAGAGTTCAGCAGAGCAGCTAGAAGAGAGGAGTCAGCACTGAATACCTAAGGAGCTCTGTGTAAATGCTCTGACTCTCATCTGGGAAGCTTTGTGAATCCAGCTTTGAAATATTTACACAAAACCACTACCAAAAATAGTCACTTCAGACAAACCAAGGTTTGCTCAGATTGATCTGAATGCAGTAACCAGCAAATCTTGAGTTAACACCACCGGGGGTACAGCTCTGGCGAGGTTTTTCTAGCGGTCCGAATGCCGTCTGCCATTGCAGGACTACTTCCCTACACGTTTCCACAACAAGCTGATCCTGGACAGAAGGGAATCTGAGACTGCTGCTGCTTTCCTGCACTCTGTCCTTTCTGAGGTTCTTCTTAGCTGATCATCTCTTCAGGTATCTGTGCTGCTCATATCGGATAATACCTGAACAGAGATGAATGAATCACAGCTTGCCCTGGCCTTATCTCTAGGGGAAGCAACCTCTTCCTGGATGTGGGCAGCAGGGGTTATAGCAGCACAAGATTTTCTCCTTTAGCACAGACTTGGGCAGCTGGGCTGTACTAGCTCTGTCACCAGAAGAAACAATCCTACAGAAAGGCTGCTTCAGTGTTATCTACATATGCATTGGTGTTCAAGCAAGTCTGTGTATTTTTAGATACATACATTTGTACTAGCAGAAGACAAAACACATGGAGACCTTACAGTGGAGGCTGGTGTGCTCCCTCTGATGTTTTGTGGTCAGCATGGTTCTTAAAAAGGATAGAAATCGAAGAGCCAATGGAAAAACGTGGTTAATTGAATGTGAAAGGTGCTGTCCTTGTTTGGACTGTCTGTTAATGGTATGACAAGCTCTGGTAAAGAGCTTAGCTGGCCAGATTAAAATTAAAAAATTGTCTCAGTCCATCTGCTACCTCCAAGGAGTTTACTTCCATCACCTTTTCTTGTTTCTTTATGGAATTGGAATACTGTCTCTGAAAAGAACGTTCCTCAGGATGTCTTGGTTGACTTTTTGTACTTAATGTTTTTTCCAAAGATAATTATATGTGACGTCAAGACATTTTCAAGAAGGACAATGCTCACGATTCGTTCAAGGATGCGTTAAAGACAACAGCTCTTTTGCTAAAGGGGATTTTTTTTCCCTTACTTGTTGTGTTTTTTTTTATTACACACCTAAGTATGTTTTACTTCATTTGGAAAATGTTTCTTTGCTTTCTGGTTTTGGGAATGATTAAAGGAGTTCTTCAAATAGTTGCAGGTAATGTAGAAATCTTACTCATATTCTTGTTTTCAAAGTTTCCCTATGGCAATGTGTAGAAATAAAAACACCTTTCTGCTTTAATTGTAACAGGGGACCAGTACAGAGAAACATTTGGTCAAACGTGTCACAATATCAGTGTAAAATGCTTGGTGATTTCAGGGAGGCTTTACTGTAAATGTATTGTTCTGAGTGTAGAAAGTAGCTATGGGAGGCGGGTTTTTCCAACTTCAAGAGACATTAATTTCTCATAGATGTTTTACTTGATGCTTTTTTTAAAAATAATTTTGTATTTGTCTCAACAAGTGAGGTTCTGTCTTCTGGTTATGCACACTGAAGATGTGTCAGTTTGGGTAAGAATGGACTTTTGCCTTAGTGACCTTTTTTTGATGTTCCCTTCTCCCTCTGATGTACCATCTGCTGGTGATCTCCTGCACTAGACCTGACTCTTAATATAGCATAAAAATAACCATGTTCTTAATCTTTCAGTCATTGAAGTCAAAGGTGTTATTGACTTTGAAATTGCAAAATAAGCTCATAAACTGTGGGATGAGAAATGCTATACACTTATTACTGTTCTTTCTCTAATAAATTATTCATTTTGATTCTTCTTCAGTCATGTTTATTTTGGAAAAAGTGAAAGAAGAAAGTTGAATTACCTAGTTTCAGATCAGCTGACTCCTGATCACTCTGCATCACTCTGGAATGATGTGGAAAAACTAACATAGAAGGAGTTTTAAAAAGCTAAAGCTGATCAGCCCTTTTTTTCTCCCTTTTTTTCCCCCACTCCAGTCAGGTAGGGTGGTAAAAGATGTACTTGCTAGCTGTCGATTCAAGCAGTGTTCTCGATGCAAGGGTTTTAAATATTTGTTCTTGATGGAAAGTATGGAATAAGGAGACTTGTTACTTTATCACTTATTTCATTCCTGGCCTTGAAACCCTCTAAGTAACTGTGACTCATATATACAGTCCCTTTGACTTAAGCCAAAATCACAGTAGTGAAGTTAAACAAAACATTAGCATTCAAAGGGTTAGGGCTTTAACTTTTATTATTGAATGGGATACTGTAAAGAGCTTAAGGGTGTTTAATAGTACAGTCATACAGACAGGTTTTGTTGATAGAAAAAAGTGCAGTTACATCCTTCAGAGACCGGAACAATGGCATTAAGATACATATGATTGCATCACTATCTCATCTGATAAATGTATGTGTGATTTAAATTTTACAGCAGAAGGTTATTCAGCTACAGAAGGACAGCAGGCTCAAGTTAGTTCACCAACACCTCAGCTCAGTGGCTGGCAGTTGGCAACCCCTTCTCTGGCTCCTGAGTTGATAAAACTTGACGGCATTGTGGAGGCTGAAGGGGTCAACAAGCATTTGCTGATACGAAGGAAGCGGTCCATTCTGTTTCCCAGTGGAGTTAAGATTTGCCCTGATGAATCTGTTGAGCAGGCTATTGCCAACCATCTGAAATATTTCAGGCTCAGAGGTAAGTGACTGTACATCTCATGAGTAATTGATAAAGAACATGTATTTATAAAATAATAGATAAATCTTTTAAACACAGTGAATACTAGGCCGTAAGAATCACATTATTACCCAATAAACTTTCTTTTCTGTGATATCTATCCTATGAGAGTTGTTCTGAGAAAAAAACAACAACCCATCTTCTTGTTCCATTAATATATCATAGAAACGCTTAGTCCCTGAAAAGAGTATTTAATATTACACATCCTTTCTCATAGAACAATTTAAAGGCTAAAAAATGATAGGTGTTATGGACAGGTGACCTAAATGGGAGACCTTGTTTTTATTTAGTGTTCTTCAGGTGCTAGCAGAATTCACTGAGGGATCTTTCAGAAGAGAGTCAAGTCTGAGACATTAGTGTCTCAGCCATGTGACTTTTGACTGTGTGGTTGTGCAAAGCATAGTCTCTTGTCATAGAAAGCTGATCTCTGTGTATCAGGCTATAGTATAATAGAGACAAAGCCTTTCTTTTAAGATGCAGAAGTTGGTGTGACAGAGCTTTCTTTGAAAAGCTGAAATATCCCTGGTAACGGTGCCTTTCATGTGATGAAATATTACAGCAATGTGAAGTATTTTAAACCCTTCTGTCTGACAACATTGGCATGGGGCATCAAGGTCATGAAGCACTTTCTGGTATTTGTGTGTCTCTGTATTGTAGCATTGAAACAATTCATAGTGTCTTAACATGTTTGCATGTAATTGGTGAAATAGGAAAAGAGCTGCTGTCACTTAAAGGAGAAGGAAACGTCTTCAGAGATGTGTAGGGAGACTTTTTTGATAGCCTATAGAAGACAATTCCACTGGTAACTCAGTGCATTTAGTTAGAGCAGTGAAAAATAATTAAAATTGGAAGTTGCTGAGTGTAAAAGTAAACATAAAGAATGTGTTTGGAGGAATTACATGGGATCAGCACCTCATTCAAGTATGAGTTATGCCCAACTTGTGAAGGATGTTGACGTTGATCATCACACAGACAGTCTGAAAGGCTTTGCAAACTTCTTACTGATGTCGACCTAGTAGCACTCAGCTGTCCTTTGTTTTACTCAGAATGAATCCATACCATGTGCTTTAACTGCAGTCATGCCTCAGTTACCTGTGATAGGTGGATGTAAGTGAAATATAAGTAAGCAAAAGTGTGATAATAAAGAAGAAAAATCTGTAAACTAGGTTGTAAAACCTTATTTAGAGCTTAATGGTCCTAGGTTGTTGAATCAAACCCACCTAGTTCAGTTGCTTCCCTGTTGGATTGATGTCTTCCACAATCCACAAAAATTTCTTGAGCAAATATGCTATGACCACCCTTAGCACTTTGAGCTTAAAACTTTTGAAAAAGTTCTCTGCAAGAAGCAGGGGTGACTTTAATTAACAGCAAGTCGAGCAAGGTCTGGTTCAAGTAATTTGTCATCTTCCTTCTGTTAGCAGCAGTGTGCTGCATCACAGGTATCTGGTGATGTCTAGTTAGTCACATCTTGAGTAAATGTACCTGAGGGAAGTGAGAGTTGATGATACTGTTGCTTTCATTTACAGTAAAGCTGCCTCGTGAGTGTTACTGAATTATATACCAGCTTTTCATTGAAAGCATGCTTTTACTAGCTAACTGAATCAGTGCAGTGATAGAGTGAGATGGACCTTCTTGTCTCTGCATTTTCAACAAAGTTGTCCTAGGAAAGGGCGTGGTCACTGTTTGGCACTCAGAGACCAGCTACATCAGCAATTAGAAATATAACTGCCCCTACAAGGGAATAAATGTGAGTGTGCCCAGAATATGTTGATTTTCAGTATCAGTCAGCATTTTTAGGATCTTCTTTTTCTTCTGTACCTGTTGAAGTAAGAAATGTAAGAAATGTAAGAAAAGTAAGTTAATATCCCATACTTTCTCTGAAAAGGATTTTTTCAATACAATCTATTCTTTTGTCAGTTTGCTCCCAACAAAAACCACTGTCACTATCATGGAAGGAAAGATTGATTGCTGTTTTGATATAAGAGCTTGTTAGAAAAGGTTTGTATGTGCTGACTATCTGGTTTACACTTGTTCTGTCTATATCAACTTTAGAAGGAAAGAAGTGGGAATATAGATATCCATCTGTAGCTTCAAGCTTTATTTAATTTTGGTGTCTGGCTACTGCCTCTATTAGTGTCAGAGACTGACTGATGCACACTTCCATCATAGGCTGCATGCAAATGCTTATGTCACCTAGCTGTGGACTTCATAGTATATAGTTTTGTGTTTGTTTGTTTTTTTAAATCAGACTACGAGATCTTGATTTTTTTTTAGCCTTGAAAACATACACAAGAAAGAGATAATAAACAGATAATTAAATCTTTAACAAGGTAAAAAAGTGGCAAAATAAAGGGATCTGGAGAAAATTCAGTACTTTCTAAAACAGCAGGAGCACCCTTCAGCATCTGAAAGTCCAAATAACAGGCACAATTTTTCACTTGTTGTTATTATTACTGTAGTAGTCAGAAGCAGAAACAAAGAAAAAATTCTCAAGTGCTGATTTATGCATGTATGTATAGTAATCTGTTTAGCTAATGAAGTATTTGCAGGAAAGATCTCTTCAGAGGTGTCTGTCAGTCTCACTGTTGTTATCAAAACCCACTGCAATGAAGACACTCAGTTGCACAGAAAGTGGTAAAGAGGAGAAGGAGTTGGCCTCCTGTTTCCTCAAAATAGACTGTTCGGCCTGATTCAGTGCTCCTAGCCACAGTACATGATTCAGGTCTTAAGAAGCACTAATGGGATTTAGCTGGGATTAAACTCCAGCACTGCCCACTTACACAAATGGCCAGAACACCACCCTACCCCCTGCTAGGTGCTCAGTGCTGTCATGTGGTGCTCCTTCTGTTAGCTTCCCAAGTCTCTGAGCACTGACTGAGTGCTATAGGCTGATTGTCTCTCATGTGAGAGATAAATGCATCCTGAATGTTAAAGCTGGAGCCACACAGGTGCCGTATCCTACCCAGGTGCAGGAGAGGTAGCCATACAGAATTCTAGGAGGGGAGAGAGAGAGAATCTCATCACAGATTTTAGCTGGAGGTTTAAAATGATGAAAGACAATGATGAAGTCTTTAGGAAAGGAAGCTTCACCCCTTCCTGGAGTCTTACAGGACTGAAAAGAGCCTGTTCCTGCTTATGTGGATTTTTTTTGGCTGAAACACAATTTATCTTAAGTGTTTAGGATACACTCTATTATTTGTGAGTATTACTTGAGAGTAAGCACTGCATTTGAAGCACATTAGCTTCCAAGACTTGGAGTTTTTGGCTTCCAGAGTAGATATGCTGGGATTCATGTAGTCTTCCTACATTTCTGGCTTTCTGAGGCAGCCTGTGAAATCTGTTACGGCCTTTAAAAGTTAAGACCTTGCCTACGATACTTTGTTCAAGTGGAAGTTTGCACAAAGGTGTGGGCCAAACATACTGATCTTGCAGTTTTTTCCTACCTCCTCTCTCACCTTTATGATGATTATCTCAGCAATGAATTAAGGGACTACTAATTTCTGAGGCATTTCAGGATGGAGTACATGCAAAATGTATTTTGGGGAAAAACTGCAAAACAAGCCATCTGGTTTGCCTTCTTGGTTTGAATTCTGGTTTATTGTGTCAGTCAGTTACATGTCGTCTGCCCACCTACTTACTTTCCTGTAGACAGCTGTAATGATCACATCTCTATAGGAGGGAGCCTCTCTTTACCTCATAAGCCTTGTTCATTATTTTTTTTTAACAGTTGAATTCTTTACAGGAGAATTGCAAAGTAGCCGAGAGATCAGTTAACACTAACATGCAAGTTATTTATTACTGCAGGGATGAAGGAAGTAATTTTCTAGAGGAGCTTACCTTCCCACCCACGTGTAGCTTCAAGGCTCTTAGCTCACTGCCTTAAAAGATTGATCTCGATTTTATGATGCTTTTAATCAGTATTGTTTGCCAGGGATTAGAGGCGTCATTGCAAATCCTGTCTCCTCCAGGGCCTGGTGTTGCTAATGCTGTCCCATATATCTCTGCCTGTGGCTACCTCTGTAGTAGGCTAGTGAAAGTTTGGCATGAGATCTAGCCATGAATACAGCCTCTTCTCACGTGCCCTGAGGGCTGACCTGCTACTCAGGTGGCATCGTGTGGCAGCACTGCTGGGTCTGCTCAACTGTTCCTTCCTGATCCTGGCACTGCTGGCTGCTTGGCTGGTTTTTAAGGGTTTTGCAGCTAGTCTTAGAAATCTAATTTCTGGAAAGATCATAACTCAAAGCCTGTACAGCAGATTTATTTTACTTAATAGTTGGAGTATGTTAACAGCATACTGTGTTATGCAAGCAGCTCCAGTCATAACTCTGAGCTGTTGGGGTCCTGTCATTTTATTGTAAGCTTTGGTGCTGCAGTTTTTCCCATTCCCTATCTACTATAAACATTTTGTATTTAAAATTCAAAGTTACATTGCAAGTCAAAAAGCTTACTGGTAAAGATCTTTGGGGGTCCTGTCCTCCCCCCTGCTATTCACTCTGAGTTTCAGAGTGCTTATACTCTAGTTATAAAAACCAGGTTTTTCTTAAATAGGAGTTCTTGAGAATTTGTTGAGAAGAAACTTTCAAAAACCTCCCTGGCCAGCAGATAGTTGAAAGCCTGCCACAGGGGTGGGCTCCACCTTCAAATTTAAATAAGCTTTATCACATTTATTATGGAACTTGAATGCACTGTGAGTAAGGGTGGTGTCTCCTCAGTTCCCTGGGTGGCCATGTCAGTGAAGCTGTTAAGAACTGGCTCTGTGTTTGACACACCTGAAGGAGAGATGGGAGATAGAATCCTGCATGTCTCTCTTTACATGAGCATGACTTGAACCACACTGAAGAAATTACACTGTTCTTTTTATGTGCTTGGAGGGACAACTCTCATCTAACTATGAAACATGGAAAAGGTGTATGAGAAAGACTGAAACAATTTTTTTTTCCCTTTTTTAGCCAGACTATGGTGCTTCTTGAACACCATATGGGTAAGCATGCTTGGGGATGATTCTTGGGTTGACCCCTTACTGCCTGGATTTGTTATCCTGCAAAGCAATCACTTATTTTACAAACCGGTCAGTTGGAATAAACAGGACAATGACAAGATGAACTGTGTATCAACAAGGTTGTGGCGTTACTGTGTGTAGCAAGCAGGTCACTGAGGCTGAGGATGCTGTTTCCTTGGCAAGGCAAACAAGTGTTTAAATGGTAGTCATAGTACGTTTGCCTACAGCTTTTAATCTCCCTCTCTACGTCAGAACTAACAAACTCTCAGACTACTCAGAAGGAAGCAATGGACCAGCCTTTTTTTTTCTGAGTATGGAAGCAATTTGCTCCATGTTGTGCAACTTGGTACTGCTCACCAAAGTGGAAATGGCTAGGTAGGACACAGGCTAGAGAGGATTGGATGTTACTCCTTATCCACATCGCCTTTTCTCCTTCTACAGAAAATATGACCTTGTTCTGACAGCTTAGGTCTGATTAGTGGGCTTGGAGCCCACAGATGGCACAAAGCCTTTGGGACTGAAATTCAGTGGGGTGTCTAATTCCAAATGAAATGACACACAACAAATCCTTAAATCTATTGGGAGCTGATTGGGACAACTGTTCATACAGCTGCATCTTGTGTTCAAACAAGACACTGTCTCATCACATTTATTTTAAAGAAGAGATTAAACTTATTTAAGAGCATTACAGAAAATTGTCTTTATTACTGCCTATTATTACTTGTAACTGGAAAGCCAATGCTATGCCTGTTGCCATTTGAAAACTGTAGGATTAGACAGTGCTACTGCAGTGTATTTGCAAGCAATTGCCATAGCTTCAGCTCTTACTGATAGCCTGCTGAAGACTTATCTCAGGCACAGGGAGTAATCTCATTGCAGAATTGTTGCTGTACAGTGTCACACTGGAGTAAAAGATCTCTTAGTCAGAATGAAGGATGCAAAAAATGCCAAAAGAAGTGAGAGTGAGCAGTATTCCTTCTCGATTTGAAACTAGATTTTGGGCTTTTCCTGGATGCCCAGCTTTATGAGTGGGATGGTGGAGAGGACACTACAGATGTCATTCTGCTTCAGGAAGCTTATTAACACTCCAGCAGGATCCAGAAATCCCAGAGCAGGATTATGGCTTCATTGGCTGCAGTTTGTGCAGAAGTCATGAGGAAGTGTGGTCACTGCCTGAAGAGTTTGCTTCCCCAGCTGCTAAGGAAGCAAGCAGAACTGGAGGGGAAATGTGAAATTTGGAAATTTGACTGTTTATTTCTGATTAATAAAGATGCATAAGCAAAACTGATTGCAAGCACCTCTAATACTCTAATAAAGTTGGCTGCCTGAAAGCCAAAGGGGTGCTGGAGCAGTAATAATTTACCTACAGTTACTAAGGCAGAGTTTGAGGACTGCAGGTTCCTCTAGTCATACGTATCAGATGAACTGCAAGGTTAATCTACATGTAGGAAAGCTTTCAGGAATGTGGCATGGAAATGGGAGATACCTGTGTTCTCACCTGCTCTGACAAGCAGAAATTCGGGATGGGGAAAAGGGCTTTGTCTGTGTGGTACCCCCTGGCATGTGAGAATTAGCTAAGCTCTACGGATGCTACTGCGTGTGAAACAGTTCCTTTAGGAAGTTATTTGTAAACCCTTTACATTTAATGAAAATGTCAACCCCTTGGTTGAATGAAGGGATGTTTCCATATATGATCATGTGTTAAGTTTTACACAAGTACATTTAATTGATTTGGAGTTCAGAATACAGAGTATCAGGAAGAAATAGCAACTGCTAAGGAACTGGTTTTGGCAGCCTGGGGCATATTTTTAAGGTGACTGAAGAAAATTACTTTCTAAACCCAGATTCATGCTCAGTCTCCTCTAGGATCTTGCTTATGATGTCAGGACTTTCTCTGAATGCAAAGCATTCCTCTGCTGAACTGTGTATGTGTAAGTAGTGAAATCCGATTAAGGCCAAAAAGCAGGTTTGTCTGCTACTATTCCAGGCTGGCATCTGCTACAAGTGATTTTTAGAGTTGTTCTCCTGTTAATGTTGTTCTCTTTCAGGACGCAGGGAAAATCCTACAAATCTTCCTCTCTTCCAGTTATCCTGGGTCACAAAGAAGCTCTTGCTTGACCATTATGTGACCAACTGCTCCAATTTGTGGATGATAGGAAGGTTAAAGCAGCTTGCATAGAACAAGATAATTATACCTTTAATTCGCAGACTGTCTGTTCAGTCAGATGTCCATTTCTTTCTCAGTGCATATATACAGTAGGGTTAGAGGTTGTCATGTTTTCTTAACTTATTATGTTGTTGTGTCATCATCTTTTGTTGTTTTTCAAATTATTAATGCAATTATAATTTCTGAAACCTATTTTAAGTTCTACATAAAGGTGAATCCAAATAAATTGTTACTGACTGAGCCTCTAAAGCTTTGGTCAGTGCAACTATAATTGCTACAAATTAATCTCCAGCTCTAATTTCTGTGAGGATTTTTGCCACACTAACTTGGTTTGCTAAAAATTTAACCTATTGATCAAGGGCAGTTTTACTCAATGAAAATACTGTTGTTCTTGGTGATTGTTAGGAGACAAGTGTGCCCTTCCTTGCACTCTTCTTTTTTACCTTAATGAAGTAATTAATTCAGTGAAAAAAAAAAAAGAGGGTGGGAAGTAGTATGAGTGTGGAAGATCTAGCAGATCTTAATTGTCAGTCCCTTCAATGCCTTAATAATTTACATGTAGATGTATAGTCACTGTATTCTCTATATTAATGTACTGAAAATCATACAACATTTGGACAATACTCTCCTGACCACCCATGCCATCCATGGAAGTACTCCTGTTGTACTAACACCAGACCTTTCTTGTGCCTTCAGTGTGTCAGGAAACGGTCTGGGAAGTTTTCAAGACATTCTGGGATAGACTACCAGAGCGTGAAGAATATCAGACCTGGATGAGCCTGTGTGAGGATGGAACGATGAGTACCTTTGAAATGGGCACAAACTTCAGTCAGTCTGAGGAACACCGGAGCCTGGTTGTGAAGGTAGGTGGGTGCAGCATCTGGTTGGTGTTTTCTCACGGGCAAGGGCATAATGTCCCTCTGCAACAAGCAGCTTGGCATATGACAAGTGGTAACACGTGAAGCATTGAAAATGGGCAAGCATGAGTACCCCAGCTGCTGGATCCGTAGCTCTGAGATTAGATCCAAACGCAAAGTTGTAGCTGATTTGATGGAGGTAAAAGCAATGATTACAAAGAGAAAGTTGTCTTCAATAAGTATGTTCTGACAAGTAGGTGATGTCTAGACCCTTTGAATAGGCAGTGTGACCTGAGGCAGGCTGTGGCACATGGCCCTCTGCCCCGTGTAGCAGCCTTCCTGCTCTGAGTGGCACATGGAGATGCCCTCAGCTCAAGTGGCCGTTTGAAGCAGGACGTTCTGAGCTGTATTTCTGATGCTACCAAGATGTGTGGCAAAGTTTGCGGAGGTTAAAGTCGCAGTAAGAGTGTAAAACATTTTAATGAAAAAAATGCTAAGTTGGAGCAAGCTTGTTTTAGCTTAAAGCAAATAAAAGGAGCATTAAGCTAAACTAAAAAAGCCTATTTCAAATGAAATATGATTATATGTGTCTTTTCAGGAGTGCTTGAATTTTAAAATTAAGTCCTTGGTTAAAAATGAACTGCTTAACTTTTTACACATCTAGGATACAGCAGAAATCTTAATTTCTCTGTATAAATGGCTGTCTTAAAATACATGGTGGTTATGGATCTTTTTTTTGAAAGCTAAGGAATGAGTCACTTTATGAAACTTATCGTAAGTCTTAAATTTATAATCCCATAGAGTCATGTTCTATGTGTATGGATGTGCTGATGTTTTTCTGTCTGCTTTTTTAATGGACTTTTATGCTAGGAATATGAATGTGAGCAAGAAAACAGTTGTGGATAATTGAGAGTACTGTTGTCCTTCTAAGATGTTGCAAAAAAGATGGAGACAATAAAAATTCACATGAACTTTTTCTGTGCACAGTGAAATGTATCATTACTTTATGCAGGATTTTGGTAGTGAGAAGATCTGTAGTGGGGGCTTATTAAAAGAAATCAGATTATTCTTAGAAGCAGGATGATGTATCTAATGTCCCCACTGCCACTTTACCTTTTTGAGTATGGCTCTTCAGCATTACAGTCAGATAAAGTGCACTGTGTTTGTTGATTTATTCAGATGGTTTATATGTAATTTAGGTTTCCTTCCTCTTGTAAATGGGTATATTCTCTTCAGCACTGCAATATTCTGAAAAAGAACTGTTGATCCGTATCTTGTGCTTTCAGAATAGTTGGTAAAGGTGATGGTTGTTGGGATGATTTGATGGGAGACTAGCCTGTGTTAAGAGGGATTGAATACTGTCACCACTGTGTTTCACACAGAATGTCACAAATCAGGTGACTTGTTTTGAAATGAAAGCCTGAACTCAATTTAAATTTGAACCAAAGACGGATGGTGAAAGCACTTTATCCCATCCTCAATTAGCCAGCTTTTCTCTTGCTTTCAAGACACTTTCTTACTGGGTACCAGCTGGAGCTTGGACCAGTTCTGTTCCCAGCTCTCAGGCTTTTTTCTTCTGGAAAAATGTTTTTCAGTCTCTAATAATCTATCAAAAATCTTGACCAATTTGGTGGAGGGGAAGGCAGACATAGCTGGAGTTTGCTTTTCTGCCATCAGATGACTTCTATTGTTAGGGGAGCTGTGCCCCAGAAGGTGATGTTTTTTCTGCTCTTCAATGAGCAAGCTATGTGCTGTATGTTGTCTTGGAGAATTGAGGCCTGTATGATTGTCTGCAGGCATGTGTATATGTATGCATGCTATACAGTAACATATAATGCATGTAATAAGTTTTCATCAGCTTCTTAAAGCAAATCACCTACCAGATTTTCAGAAGGAGCAGATGAACAGATTTTTGCCAACCATAAAACATTATTTTAAGTATTCTTCCCCTCCCCCAATTTTTTTCATTTTACTTTCTGTAAAGTGCTTTACATAGGATGAATACCAACCTAACTACTTTGTTTGGATATTAAGTAGATTTACGAAGTGTAGGATTATTCCTCCATCTCTTTTCACGTCTTGGCAGAAATGGAAAAGGAGAAGGTAATTCTAATCCAAAGGGAAGTTTTGCTTGCAGTATATTTCCTCATGTAAATTAGCTCTGGTTGTGTTCCTTACTGTGTAGCTCTAGTTCAAGTGGAGTATAACTTGTATTATGTAGAATGAACTCGTTCATCCCATTCACCCGGTCATCCTACAATTTTGGACATGTGTTTCTAGAATTCTGATATTGCCAAAAATTGCCCACACTCTGACTTGCAACTGTGACTATGTTCACACTTCTGTTAGAAAATTTTTGAAAAATCCAAGAGAGGAGAAACACAAGCAAAAATAAGTATTGATTTCCCAGGAGCACTGTACTTCATTTTATGAAATTCTAGTGCCATTGCCAAGACAGCACAACCTGTGCTGTTCACAGAAGCATTTACAGCTGGCATACAATGTTCCTTGTAAGTTACCCATGTAGGTGCTGGGCACATTTTCTGACTTTATAAATTAGTGAAATAATGCAGCAGTTCTGGAGAAGTAGGTTGAACTGCTTTGACACTTCCTTTCCTGCTTTTTGGGTCCTTCAGAGAAGACTCTTCTGTGTGTTCTGAGGATTCTTCAAGGAGGCTTTTTTTTAGGTACAATAAAATGTTTCCCCTGCATATTTCTTTCTACAGTTTCTCTTTAATTCTGTGCAGCTTGTCATATGAAATGAAACCAAAGCTTTGAATTTCATATGCAGCCTATTGTTCTGGTAAGATTAAAAGAGAGTCAGTTGATAGTGCTTCCCTTATTTCTTAACTGCTGGAACCCGCTTACCAGGCATGCAGTCAGGAGGTGTTTTGAACATATGGTGAGCTTCCAAGCTAGACTACCAGTGCCCTGGCCTCACATCAAGGATGGTTAGCAAAGCAAACCTCTTACAAACTTCTGCCTCCTCTGTGATGTGTTAGGGCTGAGCAAAGCTGAAAAACTTGAGGCTTTCTCTTCTATTTGTAATATTTCTGGACAACAGATTTACTGCAGGCTGAACACCAAATATTAAAACAGTCAAAATAACTTTTGTTGTAGAATGGTTGTCTACCATATCTCCTTAGCATGCTGAGAGTTCCTGTCCAGTTTTTAGAGTGTCATACAACTTGCATAGAGGCATCTACTGCTGACAATGATTAGGGAGAAGAAGTCAGACTAGGTAGACTAAAGCTTTTATTCATTTGACAGGTTTGTTTCCTTTTTTAATCCTTTTATTTTCAACATCACAAAGCTCTGCTGCTGCTTCAGCCAGGATGCAGCTGGAAAAGGTGTACCACACCAACCAGATGCTTTGTTACAGAAACTGTAATATAACATTTAGTTATGGCACATGCTGACATTTTGAAGGTGGTCTTTGGCTGTGGGGAAAAAAAAACCCAGCATGTGTTGGTGGTATTCCTGGATTATTACTTTCAGCAATTTTACACACTCTTTTTGGTTTTAGTTCTACACACATACCTTTTTGATTCCCACTGTGTTCTGAAACTAATATACACTCATGTGTTTCAAACAGAATATATTTTTTTCAGCAAAATAAGTAGATGGACTGCTGTGTGCATAGACCCAGGAGAAGAAATAAAGTGACAGTTGAGATGTAGAATGCATCCAGTATTGCTGTGTAGCTGCCAAGTTCCTGCTGGTATACCCCAGCTCTATGAATCCCCAGCTTTTGGCCATTTGTTATTTGTGGCAGTCTTGGAATTGTTAATTCCAAAAGAGGCAAAAAAAGACCTAAGCAAGCAGGAGAAATATAGGTAATGGTGAAGATGTAACTTCCTGCTGGAACAAGAGACCCAAGTCAGGGCTATGCTTGCTGCTTAACCCCGTTTCTCTCTGCATAGAGCTTCTTCCTGTGTGGTGATGAAGCACAGCTCAGCAGTACCTGCCACCACAAAGAGTTGCAGGAGGTAGTCTGTCTGAATTATTAGTGCAGTAGACATCTTGAAATAGGTATGATAATATTCCTTGATGGATGGGGAGGACCTAAATGTCTTGTTATACATATCAGTTTAACTGCTACACATCCAGTTAAGTCGTGAGGAGCTGAGGTAATTGTTGTGACCTTTCTCTTCATGAAAGTGCTTAAAGCAAGCAAAGAGGCCCATCAGTTTGTATGAATTCATCATTATTCTGTTGGTCAGTTAATTTGGGGCCATTTTTTAATTAATCACATTTTTAAACTTTGATTTACAATTTTACAAAATTTTATTTTGTTTTATAGTTTTACTGTAAATTTAGGTTTTGCTTAGACACTCTAGTGGAAGTTGGAGGGAGGCAGATTCTTAGCTGTTCAACACAAGCAGAATCCCCTTCCTGACTCCATAGTAAAATGCAGCTTAAAGCACAGTGCTGCAGTGCTCCCATCATAAAGTTCTGCCTGCATCCCATGTTTTAAATTTTACACATAATAGGGCAAATCTGTCCTTTTTGGCAGATTACATGTCCCAATCTCTAGTTCTCCAAACTTCAATCAAATTTGGGAAAGTGAAGTTTTAATGAGTTGCTGTTCCTTTTAGATCTGATGATAATCTACAGCACCAAGGCAAGTTGACAAAGCTGTTGTGGGAAATGAAGAATTAAGGAAGGTCATGTAACTTAAGTCACTGGGCATATATTCAGCTATACCTGCTGAAGGCTCATGTACACAGCCCCGTGTATGTAACTGAACATTTGAACAGTGTTGGGCAAATGTGACGTGACAACATGATTTTGGTCATTAAAGCCAAGAGTTAAGCTGAGGGCTGGAAAGGAGTTTGTAGTACAGCTTTGTCTGAGAACCAAAAGGTAGAAAGTCTGCACAGGAATCCCCAAAGCAGTGTCAGGAGCTACTCAACAAGTCAAAAAGCTCCTGGGCCAAGAAAAAAAACCTGGAATGGTGTTGACTCAATGATATTTATGTTTAGTATTGACTTCTCAGCTCATCAGCAGCTCTATCTGTTTCAGTGTGTTTAGAGCACAGATTAACTCTCAATGATGGAGACTATAATAAAAGGGACAGAAGGCAATCCTGTTTTAGGATGCCTTAATGGGTAGCATAAAACCCCACTTCTTTAGCCTGCTGAAATGGGCACTGAGCAAGGTAAAAAATGAGACCCCTTTGACTGAATTCTGACCTATGATCAAAGGTGGGATGTAGCAACCCACTGGTCTGGGTCATTTGTAACCACTTACTCTCAACTGTGTAGTTTATGGCCACCTCATGAAGATGATTTTTTCTTCCTGAGGTTTCTGAGGCAGAAAGACTTCTTTTGGTCTCTCTTCTCTTCCTGTTCTGTGATCTTCTTTGCCAGCTGTTATCTTTCTCTGTTTAACCAAATGTCCTAATCACAGTTTATGGTATCTTTTTGATTGCTGATTTAGATAAGTTAACATTTTCTTCTTTGCATAAAACATCTCCAGGTCCTTCTAAATCTGGAAAAAAGGCAGATCTTGCCTGTGCTTCCACAGCCATCAACTTCCCTTCTGGATGCAAAAGAATTACATATTGTTGCCCTCCTTAGAGCCATTCTTTCAGATTTCCTTCATCCTCTTTCTTATCCCACACTTACTATTCTCCCATTGTCTTTGTCTCTTTTTGCACTGCAAGTTTTAACCTCCTCTAACTTAAAAAGAAAAAACCCCAAACCTTTACTGCATATATGCAAATAGGTTAATTAACTCCAGTTGCTTCTCCAAATCTTGTCTCATCTCCCTTTCACCTCTTAAGCTCTTTCTGTGTTAATTCTCCCTGTGGTCACACTCCTCCAGTTCCAGCCTAAGTCACCCTTTTCAGTCTCTCTTAGACACCTGACACAGCACAGAAACTGTCATCCATGAAGCCTGTGCTCATTTCTTTCCAGCCAGTGCTTAAAACCTAAACTTCATCCTCATCATTCATGCCTGATCAGCTCCTGCAAATCTGTACTTCTTCCTTGTTTCCCCTGTTTTTCACCTTGATAGCACTGCCTGTCAGGTGCTGAAGAATCACTTCTATGTTGAGAGTTCACCTTTGCTGTGGAGCTAATTTCTACTTGACGAGTGGCCCTTTAGCTTGTTTCTGACACCTTACTATGGATCTCCAGCTTTCACTTCGACTTGAACATGACTAAACCAATTTCTCTTCCACTAAGTTTTTCCTGCTATCTCTCCTCTTGTTCACTGCAGACCATATTTTCATTTTATCTGTCAGGACTGTGCCTCAGCACTGTTCTCAATCCTGGCCTTTCCCTCCAGCTTCAGTTCTGGACATTGTCATCCATCTCCTTGGATTCCCTCTAGTGCTTTGGCCTTGCCTTCATGTGAGTGTGTTCTCCAAGATGCTGAGGTGGGGAATCAGGACAGGCAGGGAGAGAATTGTTTCTTGGTATAACTTTCCTGTTGGAAATGAAATGTACAGGTGAGTTAAATCAAACGTGCCTTGTACAATCCTGCACAGACGGGATTAAACTAATATGAGATTATTTAAGACCTCCTTGACATTTCCTCCACCTTTTTCTCATGTCTGGAATTACCTCCGAGGTAATTTGTCTTCTGTGCTTAACGATTGTGCCTCAGGATCAGACAAGAGTATCCTGTGTAACTGCTTTTCTGCAAGTTCATGAGTTGGCAGAAGCTCAACCATCCAGTCAGTACTATATGTGATTTGTGATATTGTGATAGCCTGTATTTAACTCTATGGAATTGGAGTCTGTTTGCCATTAAATCAAAATATGTTGGTGCTTGCCCACACCCCAGACTGGAATGCTAATTAGACGGTTAAGAGGCTAAGGAAAGCTGGGTGTCACCAGCTCCTCAGGCTACAGGGATTTGGACAAGGCACCCCTCACTGGGTTTTTCTGTTTCATGCAGAATCAGCATGGTTGGAAAGGATCTCTGAGATCACCAAGTCCAACAATCAGCACAAAAAAACCCAAAACCAACAAAAACACAAAAAAACCAACAACCCAATCCCAAACTCAAACAACTACACACACTCCACCAAAAAACAACCACAAAACCCCCTACAACCTTGCCCACGAGAGCCTGCCCTGAAGTGCCGCATCTACACACTTCTTGAATACCTCCAAGGATGGTGACTCCACCACCTCCCTGGACAGCCTGTTCCAGTGCCTGACCACTCTTTCAGTATTGAAATTCTTCCTAATATCCAATCTAAACCTCCCCTGCTGCAACTTCAGACCATTTCCTCTGGTGCTGTCGTTATTTACTTGTGAAAAAAGACCAACGTGTACCTCCATACAACCTCCCTTCCGGTAGTTGCAGAGGGTGATGAGGTCTCCCCTCAGCCTTCTCTTCTTCAAACTAAACATCCCCAGTTCCCTCAGCTTCTCCCTGTATGACTTGTTCTCTAGACCCTTCACCAGCTTTATTGCCCTGGCTCTATGAAATGATGAGGACTATACTGACCTCTGCTGTCAATGGCCTTTGTGGATTAATGAGTAAAATTGCTGGGTAGGAGCTATCAGGGGGTATTAAAAACATGTGTGGGGCCCCTAATAACTAGGTTTGTTTTTAATAGCATCTATAAACTGCCTTGACTGACTGAATATGGAAAAAAGTCTCTTCTAATGAACCAACACATTTTACTGAAAGGGGTACTACTTACATATAACTTTAAAAAACTTGCAGAGTAGGAATCAATTTCTGCCTTCCATGTAGATTTCAGGACACTAAAACTGAGTACAAGCACTGTGTGGAGCTATGTAATGACACCTTAAGAAAATACCCAAAGTTCAGTACAGGTTTATTGGCCCTGAGTTAGGCTTTCCACTGTTACACTGCCCAGTCATGCTAGTTTCTTGGTTTGTCACTTAACTGGTCTTACTGTGTTTTAATTTTTCATAATAAAGTATCTCCAAATATGTATTTTAATGGACTTGTCCAATAAAGGGTGGCCAAAGTACATACTTAAAAGCAAAATGACTGAAATTAGTAATTTGGCAAGCTCTCCTTGGGCTGATATCTAGGCTGCCTGCCATTCTAACTGTCATCCCACTGTCCACAGGTGTCCTGGAAAGAAAAGAAAGGTAGTAATTGGGGTGGTTCTGAATAAAAAAAAAAGTGAATCTTCTAGACTTCAGGTCTTTACAGGTGAAGAGAATGAGCAGGCTAACCTGTTAAAATAATCTTTTGCTTTTTCCCTCCTCTTTCACAAAAAGAATCACTAGGATAGCTTAGAGTGTCAGTTCTTAGGTTATTAAATACATATGGGTGTTTACAGATAGGTTTTCATAGTGAAAATACTATATGTTAAGTTTATTGTAATTTAACTTCAAAGTAGATGTTTGAGTTGATCCGCTTTGGGTTGAGTTTTTACTGAAAAATGTATCTGCATGGATTATATAAAGAAAGCCAGCCCAATAAGCAAATTACAGAACAATCTCTGTTTCTCTAATCCAGAGAGAAACAAAAATTTTGTGCCTGGACAGTAATTTTCTATAAATATTTTAAATAATGTTCACTTTAGTACAGCAGTAGGACACAGCATTATTTCTCAACAGTTGTCCTGCAAACTGCTCAGGATCCCCAACACTTCTCGTGGGGATTCCTCACAGAAACTCCTGTGACTCCTCTCTAAAACCAATGGTGCCAATACTATGAGAATTTTGATGAAAAATTGTGAAGTGTGTAACCCTGCCTTAGTTTTTATACACTAATAAACAAAAAGATGTCATCCCTGTCACTTGTATACTATAAACAAATTCATCAGATGAATCCTACTATGTTATATTAGGCTGTAATTGTACTTTCAAAAAGATAACTTTAAATCTATTGACAAGTAGTAGAAGAAATATTGCATTTCTTTATACCTCTTCCTTGAACAGATCTTACTGCTAGCCTCCTCTAAGGTGAGAGAATATTGTTTCTGGAGAACAATGCAGGAAAATGTAGAGATGAAGAGCATCTTCTGACAAACCCAGTGCTCTTTACAGCATCTGTTCTTGTGTTTCAGTTGTATTTTGCAAATATAGGACCCACTTTCTTTTCAGCAATGGCTTTGCTAATAAATCTGGAACTTAACAAATGAAGACAGAACACATAAAAGAGAATTATTTTGGCACAGAGGATGAAACAAAGTGGTACAAACTGCATTTCAATTCCTTTCACCTGGTGATATTAAAATATACTGAGGGTTTGTTTCTTTGTTTTCCAGAAACTGTCCTATATAAAGGAAGCAATGGGCAGGTGAGTACCTCTGTTTGCCTTGTCATTTTATTCTGTCCTGAGATAACAGCAGGGCCAAGCTGTGACATTTTATAACCTTTTCTTTCTTTTTATTGGCAGCTCCTGCACTGATTGGTCATGTGGGTAAGTAATTTTCTCTTTTTAAAGTCTTGTGATCAGTCCTTTTTCCAGTTCTTGCTGCTACTGGATTTGATTTGTGTACTGCAGATTAACAAAATCCACCTTGGTGCAAAAGGGAGTATAGAAAAATGCGGTGGAGAAATCCTGCAGTTCTTGCACATGAACCTCTGTCTGGGCATGCTTGGCATGCCCAAAATATCTCAGCCAATCTGGGGCTTGTACTCTTGCTTAAGAATGTAATTACCTTGTAGGCTGTAGGATACAGATGCAGACTATTTACCTGAAGAGGTTTAGTGGGGGAAATCTATTTTGGGAGAGATATGTCCATAGTTACTTGTGTTAGTGTTCCAGTTATCCTGCGAAGCTTTCCCCAAGGCTTTAAGGTGTTCCTGGCCACCATTACAAATAGCATACAAGTGGAGTGTTTTTGAAATGCTTTTTAAAAATACTATTGAGAGATATGTTTGAAAAGCAGTTACAAGGGAATTGGCTGTGTGAGCTCCTTACATGTAACAAGGCAATGAAAATGAAAACTAGACTGAATTGTGGCTTCTTTTTACCAAAGCAACCTCACCTGTTGTTTTCATTTATTTCCTGAGATAAAAGAAAAAACAGCTCAAGTTATTGTTACTCCATTCCTACTCCAAACTTAATTTGAGCAGTTTTTTTAGAATAATTCAAAGCCAAACAACCTAGTGCTGAACTCATCTGAAGAATTGGCAGGTTCAATTCCCTGCTTAACTGGCCATATAAAGCTATGATAAATATGAGTAATTCATTTACTGGGAGGAGTAATCACTTAACAGAGTTTTAAAAAAAAACACAACTTCCCAAATGAGGCATCCTTCTAATGATTTCATAACCATAACATTCTATATTAAAATTTATAACATGAGATGATAAGGGCAAAATTTATTCCTAAGAGTTTGGTTTCTCTCTGTCCTGTTCAGCACTTGTCTGACATGAACAGTCCCTGAGGCCTCCAGGTGAACTGGGTAGATTATATCTGTTCAGCTCTCTATTGAGAATGCAACAATGACCAAACTTTTATATATTTTTTCTTTTCAATATGAGAAAATGTATAATAATGATAGAAAAATCTTGTCCTTGTAAACTTTGTGGATCCAATTCTTTCTTATAGCATAAGTCATTCTCTTGACTGGCTCTTTACATTAGTGGAACCACATCTTATTTATCAGAAAATTTGAATTCAGAAATACAGTTATCTCATCTTGAGTGCTGAAGACTGAAAAAATTAATCATTCTGAAGAAGTCTGAGTTTGAAAACCCACTGTGCCTGTCTGCGATCATTCAGGAAATCTAGTAAATGTGAAGATAGATTAAAATGAACACTAATCTGGAGTTCCTATATGCTAAACAACCTAACAATGCAAAAAGCCCAACAATTGATTGAAAGGTGGATCGAAGTGGCTAATGTTATGCTCTTACAAAAGCCATCTTATCAAATTCTTTGTGACAGGCATTAATTGTCTACTTCCGTAGACAATTGGCAAGTTTTACTCAACTCTATTCACAGTGAGGCTGTGTTGCGTCCATCTCAAAAATGCATTGCTTTTATCCCAGTAAATATTACTTCAGATTATTCATAGTTTTAGGATGGGATCTCTGTTACCACTGTCAGTCTAAACTGGTTTTACTATGGCTTTTCCTCTTGTTTGTCTCGTGCTTGAATATGGCAGTGTTCCATTGCATAAAGAGAGCAATACAAGAAGCAGTGAGATTAGAAACAGGTACATTTGCTCTGCATAAGGGAGCACCAGGAATAAATTATTAGAATTTATTTTGGCAAAATTAAACCCCAAACCCTTATTCTAAGAGCGTCCTGGGCATCTCTGCATTACATGGTTTAAGAAGTGAAGCTTGTAAGCCGGCGGGATACAAAAATGTTGACTGTCGTGGGCAGAAATTGTCTCATCTAACTTTAGACATTCTCCATCATATGGGAGTGAATGAGCCATCTCAGCATTGTCAACAGCCAACATGACTATTTCCTGAAAAAATACACTAGATTTCTCAGTATATATCAGAATGAAATTAAGACCTTTAAACAATGTCCTGTAGAAACTGGAGTACAGACCTAAACTAGGCTCAACCCCAGTCCTTAAGGCACAGTGAGGAAAATCCAGTGTCAGGTTCTTCCTGCACAGGAGGAGATATGAGGGTGCTGCTGCCATTTCTGGGGAGGTGCTGTGGTCACCTGCTGACTCACATGTGCAGACAGAGGCTGGCCCTATGCAGGGAAATGCAATGATTTGATTGTGGCTGTATTGTGTCAGAAAAGGGAATTGACCTGGCCTCATGTCTCAAGGGAAGGTGGGAAAATCCAAAAGCACCTGCTTTAGGTATCTATTATTTAGGCTGAGATGTTCAGGTAAGGCTCCCACATTGCCAGGCAAGGGGAACTGCAGTTTCTCTAATGGCTGTGCAGAAGCAGTAATTTCACTTTGGAGGCCTAGCACGAGGCATATAAAATCACAGAATCATTTTGTTTGGAAAAGACATTCAAGATCATCAAGTCCAACTGTTAACTGCCAAGTCCACCACTAAACCATGACCCTAAGCACCACATCAGCATGTCTTTTAAGTATTTCCAGGGGTGGTATTTCTCAGTTTGTTTTCCCACTGATAAGAACGTAGGGATTTTGGCGGTTGGTTCATTTTCTACAGCATAGCACAGGCACAAGAAACTAAGAGAGTGTTTTCTTTTTATGAGCTTTGGCCTATCTGTTTTTGTGTGAAACGACTGGGGGCTTATTTCCTTAATTTGAGGCTGATCTGGAACATAGTATATCTGTTAGTCATTTTAACTAGGCTGCCTTTCTAGATTAAAGCAAAACTGTTCTGACAGCTATAAACAGCTGTAGGATTGAAGCTGTGATTAAAATAATTGAATGCCTCTTGTAATCATACCTAGATGTCAATACTGTGTCTCTGTCTACCTGGAAAAAGCTGGTTTCAGCTAGTTAAGTGTGAGGATAGTGTCAGTGTAGGCTACAGAAAGGTTGTTTGTGCCTTGTGTAATTTACTTCCCAGAATAACTCACTAACACCAGCATTACTGTCGATTGCGTAACAGCGGGATGAAAGTTGGTTCCCGTAAGGCTGGTGCCTCCGCTCATGTGGGTTAAACACTCAGCTAGCCTGTCCTTCTAAGGAACAGAGGGATTACACTAAGTACCACTGAGGAGAAAACCTCAAAGGAAAAGTAATATATGGGACATAGTCCAGATGTGTAGAGAGCAGCCCAGTGGACTTTGTGGAGTTTTGACCCAGTGGGAAGTGGGGTAGAATGACATCAGCTAAAGTCTTGTAGTAATTCCATTATTCTCTGGATTATTTGGACTCCACAAAATGAGTTTTGCTCTCTTTATTCTGGAGTATGTCTGATGACAATAGGACAGTTGTTTTGTCTAGTTTCTGGGAGAGAGGTCAGAAGCAAGATCTTGAGGATCCACTGAAGGCAAAGGAGTAGCACAAAATTGCTGTAATAGAAAATTATAGCTTTTGTGTCAGAGCCTTGCTTCAGTGCTGCATGCACAGTAACGTGCCGAAGAAAAGGTAAGGGGTGTATGTGATGACTATAATGCACTACTTTTTCACTTCTTTGGAAGTGGCTGTTAATGTCAAATAACATAAAGAGAAGCACGTGTCCTTTCAGCATGATGCTTGCTGATCCTGGACTTGCTGACATGAGTTACAGGAAACCGTGTCTGGACCTCCTCTGCTGTCCACATTCTCTGCTTTGAAATATATCGACAATTTTAGGATCCAGATTATTTTAGTGGTGGTAGCAATGGTTGATGATGTAGCAGCTCACATTTTGTACCGTTTATCCAAATGTGCTTCATGAAAGAAAATGTATTCTGTGCTGGGATCATTTAAACAGTTCAGCAGTTCCTCCTGCAGTGAAGTAGAAACATACCTGAGCTCCTTTACTGTCTACATGTGGACTTGGCAACAATATTGCTCTTTTCAGAAATTTTTGAGCATCTGCACAGTTTTACCCCATGTGAAGACTTCCACACTGCTCCTCTTCACTTGTATATTTTCTTTTCTGCTTCCTGCTTGTAAGGTAGCTAATATGAAAGGTCCATCCTTTACAGGTCCTTTAAAACCAAAAGAAGTCAAAATTCAAGAACTACCTAAATGAAAATTAAGAAAGATGCAAGTACAATTAAAAAGGAGAAGAATCTGAATACAAGGCTCAGTCTTGCATTCTATACTCCTAAATTCAAATATTGCTTGGTTCAAGGACACATGATTAAAATATTTAAAAAGGAGAAGGTCAGACTATAAAATGTTTTTTCTTTTATGCAATATGAGCATCAAAAGAATAATGTGTAAGAAAAATAAGTGGTTGAGATAGCATATTAGACTTCAGGACATTCAGATAGATAAGCAAACTGGTGGATAACCGGAATAAGTACAAATCCGAAGATGTTACTTTCTTCATCCAAAGAGTTGAGTTTGTGTTAAACCTTTAGGAGTAATGTAGAGAAAAGTGTAACAAAAACCTTGACAACATTTCCTGGGGCAGTGTCAGTGCCCCATTTGACAGGTCCAGACTGGTATTTCTCCTTCATAACACAGTATGGTTGCACATAAAGAACTTGTTTATGCTCTACACTTGCCTGTGAGTCAATGGGACGCTCTGTGCTTTGGTGGACTGGAACTTATTGATTCTTTCCTGACATGACTCATGTCATATGGAAGCACTTACTGTGGGGAATATAGGCTGTGTTTGTGAGATGTGTTTGCTGCATTAATAGTTATAGGCTGCAAACAGTAAGCACTGTTTGCTTCAGATCAACTTCTGAGGGCCCTTATGGGTCCTGTTTTACACCTGCCTAGATCTGGGTGTCTAACAGAGCTGTGTGATCTGAAACCAGTTGTTTCTGCCAAGGAAACACAGTGCAGTGTTGTTCTTTCTGCTGCTTAGACATCTGCTCATGCATGTTCCTTCCTGCCTCTCCATACACATGTGTATGTTTTTGTATTTTGCTTACTGCTCAGCCAAGGTGGTCCAGGGCATCTCTCATGCAGGTAGGACAATAGAAATTGCATTTCGTTTGTATGTGTCTCAGATTCACAATAAGCTCTTGCTGGAATATAGTCCCTCCACCTGGAGCAACTAGCTTGTGTAGGTATAGTTAAAAATAAAGCCTGGGCCCCAGGTTAATACCAAGGCAGAATTTGAATCCGTGTTTACCTTGAAGAAGAGTGTGCTCAAACAAATCAGTATATGCATTGTCATGTGCATTTTGAGTGGCTTCCTTAAAGATACCTAGTGCTGTTGCTGCTTTTTTAGGGGATTAATAAAGCAGGCATTTGAAAAATTAAAACATAAAGGGGAAGTAGAAGGGAATGAGAAATGGTACTGAAAGAAAGCAAACCTTACTGTTCTGATAAAGCAATGAAAAAACAATGTGAATAAAGTGAGGTTGGTTATAGCACAGTTTCTTAAAAAACCATTTCTTCTTCTTCTGAGAGAAAGCGGTAAATGTCAATTTTAATGAATTTAGTACTTGACTGGTCTTGCTTGGTTAGATTTATTAGGATTTTACTAGGTGTTATTTAAGCCCCTGGCTTTTAATTTTCAGCCAGCTGTGAGCCAGAATTTTGTCAGAAAATGGGTTAGCTCTTGGGTGCTTGTGTTTAAAAGATACTTTTATCTCAAAAGATAAAAGAATAATACCCAGCCTTGGCAGGCCTGGGTACCACTTAAGGTGATGGGTTTGCTGTCCTCTAAATGACAGTGGCCTTATTCTCACCCTGCATTTCAGCACTCTTTTTGTCGCCCTGTGGCTCGGTTTGGTCTGTGGTTGCTGCCATGGGGTTAACCCACCAAGCGAGTTGGTGTGGCTAACCAAAGTGCCCTGTCAGATGGAGAGCTGCCACTCATTTGACATGGTGAGAGTGCTCTGGAGCCCTTGTGAAACTGGAAGACTTTATTTTTAACCTCTGTAACTAGTAATCTCATCTAGATGTAATACTCTAGAAAACTAAATTTAGGCTTTTCCTCTTGCACATTGTGCTTTTTTTGACAGTGTGAGTGATACCATACCATAGCATTCTCCATGGGTTTTCTTGTCTACTTTGAGGATTTTTATTTTAAAAACTCAAGCAACATGGTTAAAATTGTTCTTGCAGGACTGGGTGCAGGTGCCCAGGTGCTGCTGGGGGGCCTGTGGGGTGGCCCCTGTGCAGAGCAGTCCAGGCTGCCCTGAGAAGGGCACAGCTGGTTCCAGGTGGCTCCAACAGAGCCCTGACCAGCTAGAAGAGTCACAAGTGAAGTTCCGCCTGGGAAGGCTGGGAAGGGATGAAGAAAAGGTGGTGTTTTAATGTTTGTTTCTCACTAGCCAAATCTATGTATATGCAATAAATTAATTTTCCCCAAGGTGAGTCTGTTTTGCCCATGGAGGCACTTGGTAAGCAATCTTCCTGTCTTTGTCTTGGCCCATTAACTTTTTGAACTTATTTTCTCCCCTGTCTCATTGAGAAGGAGGGAGAGAGCAGCTGGGTGGGCCTTTGGCCCTTAGGCAAGGCTAACCCACCAAAAACTGGGTCCACCATTCATTTGGTCAGGTAGCCTTCTAGGTCCTTTTGAGATGTCCTAGGCTACAGCAGACATCTGCAGAAGGCTGACAGGGATGATGTGAGATGTGTGGGCAACTGGTGCCTCCTGGGGCAGCAGCTGGAGGTCAGGACTGCTTAGAGGCCCCTCAAAGTGTACAGGGTACCAATCCCTGGGCAGCTGGATTGAGTCCCGTGAGTCTCAGGCTGAGCTCAGAGCCTAAATTACTCTACCAAAGCAAATCACATTTCTTGCTGTCCCCTTCTCAAGAAAAGGGGGTTGATACAAGGCTTAGCTAATGTTTCTAAATGGGTTTGAGCCATTCAGCTGAACTGAAGGTTACAAATCCTGTTGCAGAGTTGCTTCACTGCACATCATTTTGTATTTGTTTTTTATTCTGACCATAGTTACACTAAACAGTCCCAGGTTATTTCACCTCTCCTGAAAAGTTGAATTGTATTTGTTTCTGAACATACCATCGTTAAATATGATTAATGAAAATGTTTTATCTATTTGGTGAAGCTGTTGTATAGATGTAATTTAATACTTAATTTAATATTTAATAATTAAGCAATAGTTTTTATTTCAGTTCTAGGATGAAAAATGTTTAAGGGAACAAAATTCCTCTAAAACAGAATCAGTATTCTTAAGAAAATGTAAATAATTTTAGTGTTGGATTTTTGGTTTTTGTTTTGTTTTTTTTTAGAAGAAAGTTAATGTTTTTTGTATGAGTTACTTGTTACTCTTTATATGTGTGATGGCAATGACAGAGACAATAAGAGTGGATATCTTGTCTAAATTACACCCACTAGTAAAATATGGCTTTCCAGTCTTGGAAATAATTCCAAGATTTACTGAGGTCTTTGTAGAATCCGTAAGGAATTACATTGTGCTGTGCTAGCTGAAAACAGGTACCAATGTCCACGAGATGGAAGCAGACACAAATAACTGTACATTTCAAAGCTTGCTTAGAGCTCTTCAGCTTTAGTTGTTCAAGAAAATGCACAAAAGTTCCGTTAAAGATCTAGAATAAGTATTTTACGCTTCATTTATCTGCAGATTATTTTATGTTTATTGTTATTTTATAATTGTTATATAAATCTTGCCCTGTCAATTTAACATTCCCTGAGCGTACTTTATTTTTGTGTAGTTAATCATTATGCACAGGACTAGCCTGTGCCTCTGGGGAAAGGATGGGTGCAAAGCTTCTTGGCTTGAATAGAAAATGAATCAGATTTCTCATCAGGTCTGTTTATTGGTGAGTGTTATGTCTCTGTGGGAGGCAGGGGGAGGAATAGAGTTTGAGATGGTAACTCAGTGAAACTATCATATGTTTGATCACATGCTTGTTGCCCTGGTATCTTTAGTATGGTAACTTTGGATCTGGATGTCTGGGTGGTGATGAAGCCTTTGAACCCTTGGGTTTTGGAGTGGTAGAGAGACTGATTAATATATCCTGATGGAGGCAAAGTATCCATCAACTTTGACTGGAGCTTTGCTTGAGGACTCAAGCAAAACTGCAAGACCAGTAATCTAGTATGTGAATCAAAAATCAAAGCTGGCAAGGCTAGGAACCGTGGTTCACATAGTATCAGTGTTTCTGTATATTACAGTGAAATCTTGCTGCAATGCTTATTTTAAGGCACACATATGGCTACCAAAAAAAAAGGAGTTCTATGAAGAGTGACAGAAATATCTCAATGCAATGAAATTCCATGGTCTCCTGAAGTTCAGTTTCTCTCCAGCACTTACATTTCAAATCTTACTGATCAGGCTGTATATAATAAAAATATATCAAACCCCCAAAATAATTTTTCCTTCATTCAGGAAAGACTTGTTTCTGTCGGAGCATGTCTCCTACTCTTGGCAACTTGACAGTTGCTCGGGGCTTACAGAATTGACCCTAAGGAAATTGATTTCCTGTAAGAGCCATGTGAAAGCTGTTAGTTTTTCTTCAGGCTGACAGTTTTAATCTGATTTTTATCTGAAATATTTTTCTTTTTGGTGTTTGGCCTAGAGTTGTTTTGTGTGTGTGAATGCAAGGATTTGATTTGGAAAGGGGTGCCTTTTGAAGTTCTCCAAATAAGCAGGGTAGAAGTCGTGATGAAAATAACCCATTTTCTTGCAGTGATTTAAGTACAGTTAAGATGTTCTAGTGCATCGTAGAGTATTTTAAAAACTGAGCATTTTATAGAATACCACAGGTTAACTTTGTGTTTTATCTCTGGTCTTCACATTCGCTTCCTTTACAGAATGGCTAGAAGGCAAAATACGACTTTTGGGAGGGATGCCAAGTCTGTTGGAATATAAGGAGTTTAGCAGGCTGAAGAGGCACATGATGTGTTGTCTGATGCAACTGACCCAATATCTAAGTTGCAAAAGATCACGGAAATATTGCAAATCCCAATTTTTACAAAGTTACCAGCAGTTTCATGATTTATTTCTTCTGCAAACGTGCGTCTTGGTGTGGCAGCAGAATCACAGATAAACCAGAACCTCATAAATCTACCTCACCATGTCCAACTTAAACTTCTGATTTTATTTTTTATTTAGCAGTGCTGGATCTCCAACTCCAGCTTCAGATGCTGATGTTACCACGTTGAGAGGTTAGTTATCATCTAACTTGTGTCAAGGCTGATTCTGAGTTACTAGAAAATGAAGAAATTCAATGTTTTTTGGATTTGAGAAAGAACTGTGAATTTTTCCATTTCCTAATAGTGCAGCTTATCATCTAGAGGTCATGTTAGATGCTGATATTTTTTTGTTATTATATGAGTCATGAAAGTTCTACTTAAGAAATTAGTTCTGTGGACTTTTTACTGCACCCAACTTCATGTTCCCCACAGTACATCTGCTTAGACTTAACATTAGTGTTTTACCTTGATAAGTGCATTTGATACTTTTCCTCAGGCTCTTCAGGTGTTTCCTGTGTTATTTCTGTCGTGATGATGGGGCTAGAAATAAAATTTTATTGTTGGTTTATGCTTGCTGAACTGCTTCTGTGTGAATCAACAGGTACATGGATATATTAAAAAAACCCGAATCTAAGAATACTGCTCTCTTTCAAACTCAGATGCAGCTGCCAATGTTCCTCCCCCTCATGAGATTGCTGTTGAGAGTCCTGTGGGTGGTGCTGTCCCTGAGATCGAAGATGAAGACACTACTGTGAGTGGCTTTTTTTATTCGGGTCAGCAGGTTGTTGCCTTTTTAAAATATTTTTTTTTCTGAGTACTTAGGGTTGTTATTAGCATAGTGTGTTAACACAAATTAAGATTTCATAAAAACAGCACATGAACTGTAGAAAGCTTTAAAATAACTTCCTGGGTAGGTATTTTCACTTTGCAGAGGCTTTGCAGTGCCTCTTCCCCCACAGAGAGAGAGAAAGGATCAGTTGAGCTATCAGATGAGGATTCTGCTAGTGACGTGGGGCTAGTCAGGGAATGCCTACAGGTTTTGTAAGCGCCAGGAAGAATGTGGAGTATCATTATTCCTATGGGAACACCTGTTAAATACATGTGAAATTGCGGTACTCATGTTTCTACCGTCCAAGTGGCCCAATTGTGTGGGACAGCAGAGAGGTGGCCTGTATAGCTTTGAAGATTCCTTCCGATTCTCTGCTTCTTTTCCTCTGCTGACAGAGATGAACTTTTCTTTATCACCTCACAGTCAACTTTACCTTGATATCAAAACTCCTGATGTGGGGAAGCTGACATCAAATTCTTAAAATGTCTATGTAAAAGTGAGCTGGTTTTCTGAAGTGCTGACCACCACATGGGTCTCAGGGAAGTATTTTGCTTCCAGGATTAAAATTCCTCTGGATTAAAATTTAAGCCCAAACTCTAGATTCCAACTGCAGTGTTCATGGGCCTACAGGACTGAAGAAGATTTTGCAAAGCAGTGGTATGAATCAGCTGGCTTTTGTTTTCTCATAAACATGAAACTCCCACTGGATTTACTGAGAAGCTTACAAAGTTGCACATGCTGCATATAAGTAGAAGCTGATTTATGGTACTGTGCACTGTTCTGTAACCTACTACAGCCATGAAACAAAGCTGGAAAAACTGTGCTGTCTTCTAGAGCTTTCAGGCCTGACTGTGGAGTTCTGATATTGTGTTTCCAAGATTAAATACTGAATATGAAACAGGCAGCTTCTGACTCAAGTCCAGGGTCTGACTTTATTTTATATACCAAGAACACTTGGGGTTTGGTCCCATTTACACCGTTATTCTCTTCTGAAACAAAACTGCCTGAAGTGTTTTTGCCTGAGCAGACAATAGGGCCACTCACTAAATCAGAAAGAAACCAAAATTAGATGGCTGCTGCTACAGTGTTTTTACTCCATACAGTTACATCACACCTCATCATCGCTCTGAGCAGCCAAAATGCATTGCAGATTACAAGACCAAGAGGTAGCAAAGCTCATCATCTGCTTTGCTTATGTGTTGACTGTGCTTTTGGTTTTGGTGGACTCATAAATGATTCAAACTACATGGAGTGGCAAACAGCCATGTGGTGGCAGCACATACATGCATGCTAATTATGTACCTCTCAAATGCTAACTAGCCTGAAGTAGTGTACCAGTCATTCTGGTCCTTAACAAAGTTACCTACTCAAAAAGGGGTGAGGAGAGGCAGAGAATTTAACTAAAAATTTTTAGAGGGTCCCTAAGTTGCTCACAGATGGCATCTAAGCTTTTTGGAGTAAAGTGTTTCCATTTCCTGCACCTTACATAGCACAGACTGCAGCTTTGCTGAAAAGGTCTGTTTTGTTGGCTCTTTTTCCTTTTTAGCGGGGAAAATAATAATGACTGCATGTAAATAGCCAAATACATTTGGCTGTTTGGCTAAAGGTAACTTAAGCCAGCCTTCCCTCCTCTCCTCCATAAATCCCATTTTTTTTTTTTTTGTTTTAGAAGAAAACCATGAAACAAGATCTGGTTTTTCTCATGCCTTTATTAATATACTACAAGTTGTATTTATGCTGGTTGTAAAAAACTGAAGAACTAAGCAGAAAGTGTTCTTCCTGTGTTGCTCTAATTCAAATTAGATTAAACTTGGGATTCACTGCTGCCCGTGGCAACCATGATAGCTGTATGCTTCCCTGATGCATTGCACAGCTACTGCTCCTTGGACTAACTCCCCAGCACTTAAGCTCAGCAGAGGTCCCCATAGATCTCCCAATGCCCATCATTTGTCTGAGAGGATCCTTCACTTTCTGAGGCTGCACAACACGAGGTGTTGTTCTAAATGTAGAACTTGGCAAAGGTAACTTGTCTTGCAGGTGGAAGACTAGGTAGGAGCTTTGTGATAAATGAGTAAATTTTGGGTAAACCAGCTGATTGCTGACTGGGCACAAGTGAGCTGTTGGTTTAGCCATAGTCATGCTTCAGTTTGCCTCATAAACATCACACAACTGGATTTCTGTTTGTAGCTGAGGTCAACTAGATGGCCTCGCACTAGAGAAAATGTGCACATGGAAAACTGAATTATCTGCAAGAAAAGAATTCTCAAAAAAATATTCTTGCTTAATAGATTGCCTCATTAGTTGTGTCCTCTGTCCTTGAGGCTTCATAAGCACCTCATTACGGTGCAAGGTGATGGTTTAAGTGAGCATGCTGTGCTTTGGACTGCGGTTTTCATGTGTCATTAAGTGCACCCATGACCATCGGTGTGGCCCACCAACAGTGCCCCGAGGTATTCTGGTCCATACAGCACAGGTTTTCTGCCCCATCATTAGCCAGAGAAACGTCCAGAGTTGCAGCAGTTGGAGAAGTTCCACGCCCACACAAGAAAGATGTTAGGACCCAAGCTTAGGACTGCAGAGTGCTGCTGGCAGATGGCAGACCATATATTTATACAGTATCACAGTATCACTCTGGTTGGAAAAGACCTTCAAGATCATCGAGTCCAACAACTACTCTAACTCTGCCATGTCCACCACTAAACCCTGTCCCTTGGCACCACATCTGTCTTTTTACATGTCTCTAGATACACGTACATATCTAGGGATGCTTTTTATGTGGAGTAAATCCAGGATAGGTAGGAATCTGGTCTGTCCTGAGTAACAAGGTTTTATTTATTGGAAAAAAAAAACAAAGGGCAAAACAAAGGCATTAAATCACCTGTTTTCTCCCCTCTTCCTTCCCTCCCAGATCAATAATGAAATAAAGAAGCAAGATGAGAACCTAGTGACACCTGAAACTGAACAGATGATTGAGTTCAGCATTTTGATTGTTGGTGAAATGTACAGTGAGGATCTGAGAGACCCAGCTTCTGCAAAGAGTCAACTGCTCTCTGAACAATTAATTTCACAGGTAATTACCTTCTCTGACTTCTGATTACTTCTCTGACAGGCTAAGAGAGTTTGAGGTATTCAGCTTGGAGAAGAGAAGGCTCCAGGGGGACTTTATAGCCCCCTTCCAGTACCTGAAGAGGCTACAGGAAAGCTGGGGAGGGGCTTTTCACCAGAGAGCGCTGTGATAGGACAAGGGGTAATGGTTTTAAACTGAAAGAAGGTAGATTTAGGTTAGACATCAGGAAGAAATTCTTCACCATGAGGGTAGTAAGGCACTGGAACAGGTTGCCCAGGGAGGTTGTTGATGCCCCCTCCCTGGAGATGTTTAAGGCCAGGTTGGATGAGGCTTGTGCAGTCTGGTTTGGTATGAGGTGTCCCTGCTCATAGAAGGGAGGTTGAAGCCTGATGATCTTTAAAGTCTCTTCCAGCCTTAATCTTTCTATGATTCTAAGACTTCATTTTTCTTTTTGTTGGCTTCTCCTCTCTAAAGGAGGAGAAGGACATAGAACCTGTGTTAGGACTGCCTTTTTCTCATGGACTCCACAGAACCATCTTAAGGGCTTTTGTGGCCTTAGGCAGGCTGGAAAATATGCACCCACCATGAGAATACTCTGTTTTGTCTGACATGCTGCCCTTTTTGAAGTAGCAGAAGGCCCATAAACTGTGTGTTACAGACCAGCTGCCAAAGCCATTTACTATAGTTTTCTTTTTGTGTTTCTCATTAAATAGCCTGCTATCATTTTTTGCAGGCAAAAGAGATGAAAGTATGCTTTTGTGGGGGAACAAAAAAGTATTCTCAACACCTGAGTGGTGACATGCTCTAAACAAGACCTTTCTGAGGGACTGCTCTCTCTCTCTCTCGATTTCTGCTTTCATTAATTTGCTTTGCCTTCTGTTAGAAAGAGAAATGAAGTCAGATGTTATTAACAAATGAAAAACATTTACACTTACTTTAGCCCTTATAAAGACCTGTTTCTACCTGAGCTCACTTTGGCCTTACCACGCTTTCAGAATTTTTTAGTGCCACTTCCCTGTTGGTGTTACTGCAGAAGAGCTTTTAAATGAAGAGAATTTGTAAGATTCTTGTTTGCTTCTTGATGCAAATTCATTAGTTCTCAAAGTTTTAGGTCCTCAAAATCTTACATTTTAAAAACATAGTTGGTATCTTTCTAGTGACAAGTCTTCCTAGAGCTTGTTTCAGCGCTTTCTAATCTCTTTCTCCAGTTGGAATTCTTCTTTCTTCTTCTTTCTTTGTTTGAAACTGGGGAGTGAAAAAAGATAATCTGCGTTTCCTAGCAAGTCAGTGTACCTGCAATTTCAAATGACAGGACATGAATTAGTTGCAGTTCAGAGCCACCTACCTGTGCTGAGGCAGTGCTGGAAGGCAACTTGAGTAATTGAGGTACAGCACAGCATTAACATGGAGTGCAGGTAGAAGGGGTACCAGTCCATCAGCATCTGCCAGTGTGGGCATGCTCTGGGTCTCCTACAGAAGCTGAGCACTGAAATGGGATGTAGGATATCTTAATGATTACACCATGTCCAGGTTTTGAACTGTAGAAGAAACTCTGGCATCAGTGTAGAGAATCTGTCTATACAGAGTAGGTGATGGGAGGGGAAATCAGAAGTAAGTCACAAACAGCATCAGTATTTCTGCTTAGAAGCAACACATCATTGTACTGTGCAGTGAGATACTCTGAAGTTTGGGCTGCCTGGACAACTCTTGCTCCTCATTTATTCCCAGAATCAGCAGCACATGTGAGCACATTTTAATACCCCCTAGCCTGTTGTTAAACATATGTTTAAATCCATTTGGAGTCAGTGGGAATGAACCATGGTTTAGACTGTCAGGCACCTATTTAAAATAAAAATACATATGTATATAATGATTTATTAAAATTTGATTTCAAGTTAATTTAATTAAAATGTAATGTTTTAATTTTTATGCTTTAATGCTACTGGCCCACCAGCACACAAATGTATATTTAAAATATGATCACACTGCTGTCTCCTAACTTTCCTCTCCCTACTCTCTTAATTTAAAAAAAAAAATTTCTTACAGTGATGGTAATTTTACTACCATCATTTTCTTGAGGCAGAGTGTTTCTCTCCTCTCTCTTGGGGCGGGCATCCTGGACACCATACAGCGGCACATCATGCAGCTTATCTTTTCTCTAGCTTTGCTCTCTTCTTAGTTCAATGTAGTTGGGGTTCTCTGTTGAATCTCTTTCACTGGGTCTAATCCTGTGCCAGATCCTGGGCCAGATGGGAAAGAGATGCACTCCTCACTGCAGCCAAAAAGCATGGCCACAGCTGTCACAAGTTGCTAGCGTAGGCTAGACATCTTAATTTTCCTAGTTGTGTGGCCAAGTAGCAATGCCATAGTGTGTGTCTGGAAGAAATGTCAGATGGGACAGAGTCCACCTGGCACGTGGACATTCCACTCCTTTTATCCCTTGCCTGGTTTTCTCTGTGCTTAGATAAAGAAGCTCTTGAAAAAAAGAAAGTCAGCAACAACTTAGATTGTTTAAGTCTCACCAGAAACAGTCTAAAAATAGGGAGATTGGTGAAGGGAAGAAGAATTTGAGGAGTGAAAAAGAATCCTCAACTGGAAAGGATATTTTGAGAGGAAAAAAACCCAACCCAAACCAGCATGAACCTTCAATGCTCTATTTCTTGGTTGTGTCTCATGTAATACAGTTGACTATTGAATTAGACCCACGTGTGCTGCCATTTTGCTGCCCCCAGCTGCCTTTTTTCAGTAGCACTACCATTCCTGAGCCCTTTCTATGTTTAGGGCATAGGAGATGAGCCATGTTTTATGCTTTGTAATGCATTAGGGTCTTTTTGGAGTCACACAATCACAGAATGTTAGGGGTTGGAAGGGACCTCTGGAGATCATAGTCCAACCCCCTTGCCAGAGCAGGACTACCATAGAATCAAGGCAAGTCACTCAGAAAGGCATCCAGATGGGTCTTGAAAATCTCCAGAGGAGGAGACTCCAAAATCTCTCTGGGCAGCCTGTGCTCTGTCACCCTTACAGTAAAGAAGTTCTTACTCATGTTGAAGTGGAACTTCCTGTGCTCTAATTTGCATCCATTGCCCCTTGTCTTATCACAGGGAATCACTGAAAAGACATTGGTCTCTCCTTCCTGACACCCACCCTTCAAATATTTACTTATATACATTTATAAAATCCCCTCTCAGTCTTCTCTTCTCTAGACTAAACAGCCCCAGGTCTCTCAGCCTGTCCTCATAAGGCAGGTGTTCTAGTCCCTTAAGCATCCTTGTAGCCTCCATTGGACTCTCTCAAGTAAATTCCCATCTCTTGAACTGGGGAGCCCAGAACTGGACACAATACTCCAGATGTGGTCTCACTAGGGCAGAGGGGGAAAAGAACCTTCCTTGACCTGCTGGACACACTCTTAATGCACCCCAAGATACCACTGGCCTTCTTGGCCACAAGGACACATTGCTGCCCCATGGATAACTCGTCGTCTACCAGGACTCCAAGCTCCTTCTCCATGGAGCTGCTTTCTAGCAGGTCAGCTCCCAGTCTGTACAGGTGCACTTTGTTTTTCCTTTCCAGGTGCAGGACTCTGCACTTGCTCTTGCTGAACCTCATTAGGTTCCTCTTTGCCCAGCTCTCCAGCCTGTCCAAATCTTGCTGAATGGCTGCACAGCCTTCAGGTGAACCAGCCAATCCTCCCAGCTTTGTGTCATCATCAAACTTGCTGAGAAGACACTCTGTCCCATCATCCAGCTTGTTGATGAAGATGTTGAACAGGACTGGATGCAGCACTGATCCCTGAGGAACTCCACTAGTTACAGGTCTCCAGCTGCACTCTGCACCACTGACCACCACCCTGTGGGCTCTGTTATTTAGCCAGTTCTTAATCAATCTCACTGTCCATTCTTCTACCCTACACTTCCTGTGCTTGCTCACAAGGATGTTATGGGAGAGTGTCAAATGCCTTGCTGAGGTCAAGGTAGCCTGCATCCACTGGTCTTTCTGCATCTACCCATTCAATTACAACATCATAAAAGGCTATTAGTCATACATGATTTCCCTTTGGTGAATCCATGCTGGGTACTCCTGATAACCTTCTCTTCCATGTGCTCAGAGATGGCCTCCAGAATGAGCTGCTCCATCATCTTTCCAGGGGTGAAGGTGAGACTGAGTGGTCTGTAGTTTCCTGGATTTTCCTTCTTGCCCTTTTTGAAGACTGGAGTGACAGGGGCTTTTCTCCAGTCCTCGAGCACCTCTGTTGTTTTCCATGATCTTTCAAAAATGATGGAGGGTGGCAGAGCAACACCATCAGCCAGCTCTCTCAGCACTCGTGGGTGCATCCCATTGGGGACCATGGATTTGTGTATATTTGGTTTACCCAACTGATCTCTAACCCAATCCTCATTGACCAGTGGAGTCTTCCTTCCACCAGGCCCTCTCTTACATCCAGGGTCTGAGATGCACAAGGGCTGGTTTTAGGAGTAAAGACTGGAACAAAGAAAGTATTCAGTAACTCTGCCTTTTCTGCATCCTCCGTTACCAGGACTCCCACCTCATTCAGCACTGGGCCCACATTTTTCCTGTTCCTCCTTTTACCACTGATGTATTTGAAGAAGCCCTTCTTGTTCTCTTTTACTTCCTTAGCCAGGTTTAGTTCTAAGAGGACTTTGTTCTTCCTTGTTGCCTTCCTACATACTCTGACAGTGTTCCTGTAGCTCCCATGTGACAAGTCCTGTCTTCCACCACTGTGAACTTCTTCCTTCCAAGAGACTTTCTTCAGGAGCTCCTTGCTTATCCATATAGGTCTCCTTCCTCCTCTATGTGATTGTTTACTCAAAGGAATGCACCTATCTTGAGCTTGAAGGAAGTGATATTTGAAAATTAATCAACTCCCTTGGGCCTTCCTACCTTCCAGAGTCTTAGTCCATGGGATTCCTGCAAGTAGATCCTTGAAGAGTACAAAGCTAGACTCCAAGAGGTCGCTGCTCCTCTTGCTTAAGTTGCTAAGATCCAAAGAGTTTTCCTGAATTCTTTTTAATTTAGAGAGATTTGGGAGGTAATGGAAACCTTTTGGGCAGAGAAGGGTTAGCACTGCATGGAAAAATGAAAGAATGTAATCTGCTATGGGCAGAGCAGATCTCTGCAAAATATGTTTGAATTTCCCCACTTCAATGTTTTTTGCAGTTCTGAACCCTGGATGTTGTTCTTAATGCTTTTTTAATTTTCCATTTTAATAATAAAACAATGTCACCAAACACTTCTGCCATAAAGAAAGAGAATATTAAACTGGTTTTCTCCTCTTAGATATAACAGCTCAGATGCATTTAAGAAGATGTTGAAAATACTTCCTGATATTAACTTAGTAGTGTGAAGGAAATCTGTGTTAATTTTATTTTTTTTCCCCCCCAAAATAGATTAAAAGTGTATTTGAAGGACTACCTGGATACAAAAGCGTCCGTGTCCTGGATTTCAGGTAAAAAGATACTGATGTGTATGTGGTGGTTGAAATTGATCATGTGTGATGGAAATTTGTGCTAGAACCACACTTGGAAGAATGTCAGCCATGTGCCTGGGAATCCCTAGCATGCATTAACCAAAGGACACATGCTTTCATATTGGTAACTCTATATACAGAGGTCAAAATAGAAATATAGAATTGTATGTACATCTAATAATCTCTTTTTTTGCTCCTGGCATTCACCAGAGAATCTGACATGATATGCTTGCCTTGATTTTAAGACAAGGCATCCTTATGAAAGATTCTATTCTAAAGTTAAAAGAGATATTTTCTCATTTAAAATTAGTATCTGATACTTCTTCAATACTATTGACATGTTCTAGTAGAAAACAAGGAAGAATGCAGGAACCTATTTGGAAAAATCTGCATTTAAATTTTTTTCAACTTTTAAATTTGGGATGACTCAAAAGTTGGTGTTTGAGATATGTAAAGGTCTTTCTCCCTTTTATCAAACCAAAGGTGAGTGGATAGTTTGATAAATGAAATGCAGTGTTTTAACTCTCTTTATTCTTAGAAATATTTTTAAAAGACTAGTTTCCTCAAATCAATTTGTTCTTCAGAATAACATTTTAAGTCAGTTTGGGGAAAAAGGATATTCTCAGTATTATGCATCAAACATCTGATGTCTAAGTTTTGGGGTAAATGGATCATAATTTGTAATTTTTCGTCAATGTACTGGACATAACTTTCAGAATCTAATGAGACTGTTCATGAGTTAATCTCAGTTATGTTCTCCTTGAGACGTTGTAAGCTGTGTTTCTTAGAATTGCTTGGCTGGAATATTCTAGTGAGAATACATACAGGAAGTAATGCAGCTATAGTGAGTACGTCTGGGGTTCCAACCATAAAACCTATGTTCATTTTCCAGCCTGGAAGGTAGCAAAACCTTCCATCTTGGTATCTGCAGTTTAATATATTTGCAAGCACTTGGTTTGTTTGAGAAGACAAATAAAAGGTGATATTTCTGGCAAAGTACCAGAGCTCTGTGCTCTGCTGTTCATGACAAAGAACAAGTCTTTGTAAACTAAACCTTAGGTAGAATTAGTAAGCCTTGGTTTCCTTGGTATTGAGAGAAATTTAACCTCATTATTTGCAATAAATTGACATGGCTTTGCTCTGCTAATTCCTTGTGATCAATAGGAAATATCTCACTTCAGTAACAGCAGAACAGTGTGTTATGTAGCAGAAAAACTATGTAACTTATAACTATTTTGCCATATGTTTTTTTCAAATTGGTGTGCTCTGTAAAATACCAGAGCAAATTTGTTTAAGTTAGAAGACTTAAAGGCAATTCTAATTTCTATTTAAGACATTTTTCTTTTTTGTTTTTGTTTGTTTCTATATTCAGCTCTCCTGAGGATGACAGGTAAATAGAATTATTATATAGTTATTATCATAATACAGATGGGAAAACATGTTTACCTGGAGGACACTGTTTTGGGGATTTGTAGTTTTGGCTCCAGAGCAAGATCATTATCCAGCATAAATATTATGTGAGAGGGTTTTACCAGAAACTCCAAGTAACTGATCTGTTTTGATTATGGATAAACCTACTTTGCTTACATAAATCTTAATAATAATAATAAAAAAAACTACCTGGGGAAAATCTTCTTAAACACAATTTAGCTACTGGGCTAACTTGTGTTTAGGAGTCTGTTTTGTGAGGAAAACAAAATTGCTTAATGATGACTCAAGGACTTTACACTTCGCAGGAAAGTCTTTAATAGATACAGGTTGAACTGTTATCTTTAATAGATTCTGTTATTACAGAAATTCAAGTAGGTAAGAAAACCATAGTTTTCCAGCAAAAGCTGTTGACTGATTCTTCAAGGCAAGAGGTGATGCACATCGTAGCAGTAGTTTATAAACTTCCCATAGCAGAGGATGGGATCAGTCTGGATTCGGTTATCATCACACATATGAACGATTAAACATCCAAACTTTTTCTCCTCGAGTATTTTAAGAATTTCACAAGACAAAATGAATTGCAGTGTTTTAACTTACCAGGTGTATTATTTTCTCTTCTGAACTTCTCATAACCAGTTTCCACAGACAGTTTTACAGAGAATGAACATTTTAATTTTAGAACAAAGGTTAGAAAGCACAAACCTCTTCACAAACAGTAGTGACTTAAAGCCATCCTCTACTGCTCTGCACTTCTGCAGGCCAAGATGCATGCACTTACTCACACGGGCTGTGTTCCAAGCACCAGTTGTTTTAGCCCTTTCCAGACAGATGATGGCGTCGTAGGTCTTAGGAATTATTAACTGCAGCTGACAGCACAGTTGTATTAAATCTAAACGTTACTTTTGAGGAGCATACTCTGTTCTATCTTTGCTGTCCCTTTGCATTGCTTCTGTCCTTTTCTATTTGCCCTGCTGACAGGCAGTGCCCATGGTGAGCCTACGCTGGGCTCATTTCAATGATAGAGCCAGTAGCAAAACTCCAGCAGGCTCCTGGTTGCAGTCTGTGTGTTTGCTCATTATATCTCTGTTGTATCTGGTGCTGGGGCTTGAGAGGCTTCCCTGAACAGAGCCATTACTTTAGCAACCTAGTGAAGCTCTGTGGAATGAGGAAAATCTGTCTTTGGGGGACATTTTTCTAACACTTCATAGATTACTTCAATTTCTTGCTGTGCCCTGCATACAGCCAAAATATGTTATATTTCAATAGCTCCCTTGTGCTTGTTTATGCCCAGTGTATAATGTTACTGCCTATGCTGTCATGTGGGAAAGGACATCCAGCTGTATTCAGGAAAAGAAAATTAAGAATATGGAAGAGAGTTAATATCAAAAAAGTTAAGCTGTGCACAGATACAGAACTTTGTTAGGGAATAGATGATTAAAAGAATTAAGAAAAATGTTCCAAATTAGAAGCTGTATTAAATACCATTTTATTGCTATTAACAACATTATTTCAAGCAGATTGACACTGCATAGTGACAGTGATCAGGGCTCTCTCCCTCTCCAGTATGTTGCTTCTATAGGCAGCCTGTTTTTCCTGGCGGTTTTCATACCTCAGAGCTATTCCCATCATTGGTGTGATCTTAAAATCATCACTCACACCACTGCATGCTGGTGGGCCCATTAGTAATGCTGTCAGAAAGCCAACATTTTGGTCTGCTTGTGGTCTTCTGCCATTCACTAGTAGAAATACAGGGCTGGGACCAGACCAGATGTCAGGTTCTGGTAGCCTTTTACTTGAGAACTCTGCAGTGGTGGAAAGCATTGGCAGGCAGATACAAGTGGGAAAAGAATTCCACTAGTTTTAACTAGAATCCTTTAAATCAATGTATTTTTATTTTTAAAAAGGATGTTGACACAGTCTATATGGAAAAAAAAATAAATCCTATTGTTTGCTATAAGTTCAAAAACTGCATCTCTCATCTGTGTTCTCCTTCTCTCCATACAACTGAAGTGGGGTGCAAGTTCACTATGCTGTCACGTTTGATGGAAAAGCCATCAGCAATGCCACCTGGGACCTGATTAACCTTCATTCCAATAAGGTGGAGGACAACTCCTTTGCAGGCGTGGAGGACGATCCAGCCACTGTGTACACCATCAGTGATTTCCGAGATTATATTGCCGAAATCCTCCAGAGAAATGCCTTGCTTGGGAACGCTTCCTTGTCTTTAGACCCCAACTCTCTCCAACTTACTAATGGTGAGTATTAATTAAGATGCACTGAGAGGCCACATAGCTGAAGTTTTAGAAAATACATCTCAGAAATATGCGAATTATTCAACTGCCCTCTGAATGATGAAAGAGAAACCCAAACAACAAAACCAACTACATTGTAGCTTGTTTTGCTCTGATCTTACCCAGAGAAAATCCTTAGCACTAGTATCCTATTCTTAATCCATCAGATCAGCCTCTTTTTTTACCTTTGACACTGAGGTTTGTGACTTGTGATTTCAGTAACACTTCCAAAAATGAACAAGAAGAGAAGGGGAAATGTGATTTATGTAGTGTACATTGCACAAAATGACCTTCAGTTAGTAGCCCTGTGTTGGCCTTGAGCAGCACAAAGGGAATACCAGGTTTATTGTTGAATATTGAACAGTCCTAAAGGTGGTGGAGGAGTGCTGTCCAGCCTCTTTTCTCATCTTCCCTCTGTACTTCCTGTCAGTGATCTGGGGGCATTTCCGGAAACAAAATCTCTCTGGCAAATTTTTTGAAAAGACTTATAAATCCGAGGGAGGGTTTTTCAGTCAAAACAACTTCATACTGCCACTACAGCCTTTATATGCCAAGTATGCATATTTCCACAGTGAAAGAAATAATACACCCTACACCAGAAGACCCATCCTGGATTACTGAGGATCCAGTTGTGCTGGAGCACCCTGAGTTCGATGTGAGTATGGTTCTGAGCCATGGCCTTTGGACACGTCTTGACAACTTAACTCAGAAAGGTGTAATGACAGCCAGCACCCAGAGCTTCTCTATCATGTTGTTCATTCAGAATAAGTGATAATGAAGACACACCGTATACTGGAATAAAACCCCTGGTGAAATCTCTTGTCTGATAATTTGATATGCATTGCACAGCAGTTTTCTGTGACCATCTTCTATTATGTGGCAGTGCTGCTTTCCTGGCTGTTCAGCTACCTCTTCCTTCTTAGGCTTCCTTTGCCTGTTTTTCCATAGTGTTTAGGCTGTAAATTGCTCTAAAGGCATGATGCTCCCACAATACTACCTTTCTTTGGAAAGTGAGAAGTGGATGTAGGCACTAAAGCTGGCTACTAGAAGAGATTAAAGGGTATGTTTCATATGCTCCTTTCATTGCTTTCACTGAAAGTTCTGAGTTCAGTTTTAAAATTATGACCATCCCATTGATGCTAACAAAGGAAACACAGAAAAATAATAGCCAGTGCTTTATTGTTTTCCCCTCCTCTTGAAATTATAACTATCTCTTCTGATTATCTCTGGAAAAACCCAGGATACAGACTCAAGTTACCCATTGGACAGGAGACTTAGTATCCCTGGCCGTGTCAGTAACAACGCAGTGGGGCTTTAAACAGAGATTCCACGTTAGGTGCCAGCAATGTCAAGATCAAGTTAATTAGTTCTGCTGATATCTAGAATTTCTGAATGGTGCAGCATTGTCTGGGCCTAAGGATTTATGCAGTAGGTTTCTCCCCTGCACTATGTTGTGTAACACAGATGTGCCTTCCAAGAAGAAATGAGCTCAGCTAGTACCACAAAATCCAGATCCACCTACCTGTGCTTGATGGTAGGTTTTCATCAAGTTCATTATGAGATAATGTTGTAAAACAGATCTGTCTAATTTCAGGGCAACTTCTAAAATCTTTATGGAAGCAAAATTCTCAGTGACTTCACAGAAACCAAATATTCTTGTTAGAACAGTCACAAGTATAATATCCTGAATTTCATGCTGATTTTCCCTGAGTTTTAAAAACTAATTTTTGATGTCTAAAATGCAAATTCAAATTTGTGATAAAATTTTTTAAACCAGATTTAGGGAATAGTGTGTACAAGAGCAATCTCTGGAAGTTACATTTTTCTAACCATAGACTGAATAATAATATCATTTTGTCAAAAACTCTAATTATGTAAAAGATATTGAGTATATCAGAACCAGCTGTGTACAATCTTCAAGGCACAGATAATTTTGAAAGTAATTTCAGATAAATCTAAGAAAATCATAAGTATGCTTAAACAGTAAACAAGACTGAAATGATTAGTCAATTACTTCCACAGATGTCAGACCTTTATGGTTCAAGGACATGTTGAATAGAACTATTACCTATGAAAAAGAGTTTTGCTATTATTTTTCTTAGCAAATTTGAAGAAAAGTTGGACTTGTGTTATCATACATACTCATGACATAAACAGGGACTATCATGACTTCACCATCTAATTGCTAGCTGATAGTACCAACCAATCATGAGTTATTTTCTTTGAGTTTTACAGAACTCTTAAAAAAGTGAAGAAAAAATCAAGGCTAGTTTTTTTAAATACGTATTTTCCTGATATTTCTGTTGAGTTGTAATAGGTAGAATGCTCTGGCTGTGTGAATACAATGCCTTTCTGGCACCAGAAAATGGAAAATAGGGAGGGGGTTTTCTGTTTGCAGTCATCTGTCATATTTGTAAGCCTTTCAAAAGACGTTAGTGAAAACCAGAACTTGCCAGTATGATATTAAACTTGTTAATATAATGTATTGCACTGTAACAAGAATCTTTGAATAATGTTAGTTGTCATAGGAACATCTATCCACATTCAAATAAATGATGAAGTGCAATCCCTGGCAACTAAATGCTCACTAAAAAAAACTGTATTGGGAAGCTATTGCTGGTAGTCCTTGTTCATTCTTCATGGAATTTATATGTGTAATTTGCTTCTAATCTTGCACAGTAACTTTTTTTACAGCTTTATTTATAGTGGTCAGTTTTGCCAAGAAAGATAATTGCTAGAGCACATGTCTATATGGTACATATACTTTTCAACTGATTGTTACCATATAAATTAAAATATGTCAGGAGACTGTAGTGGTATAACAGCTGGCTGTAAAAAATGTGATCGGCACAGGTAGACAAATAATGAAATAAAAATACCTCAAATGGCTTTTTCCCAAAGCATTCAAATGCAGCTTGAATTAAGTTGAAAATGCCCCCACATTTCAACCAGGAGTAAAATTTAAAATTGAAAAGTAGTTGGACTGTTCCTGTTATTTGTGCTGGTCAAGTAAAAGAAAGGAGGTTTCAGATAGGAATTTTGAGATACAGAAATGGTTAAACCAGTCCTTTGTATTTAACTGTAATATGTATTACAGAAACCTGTGTCTTCTGCCCACTTAACTTTACTAGTCACCATCATCAATTGGTTAGTTCTTAGGGATTTTTTTTGGCCACATCAGGCTATTACACAGCATTGATATATGTGTAGGTATCCAGGTGAAGCACTAATTCCTGAGTTTTAGACAGTCACCTTGATTTTCTACTCTTGATCAAATAATTTCATATCTTCATTGATTTTTCTCAATACAAATATATCATGAGACACTGTAGTAATAGATTAATATTAAAAGATGAAATGTGCTAGGTATTCCAACTGTGAACCAAATAATGATTGGGGTATGGAGTAGTAAGTACATGATATGCAAATGGCAGATAAAAACAAATTCTTTTTTCACATTTCAAACAATGCACAAATTCAACATGCATACTCTGTTGTTCATCATTACTGATGTTAGGGTTTTTTGGGGTTTTTTTTGTTTGGCTTTTTTGTGTGTTTTTGTTTGTTTGTGTTGTTGTTTTTTTCTGCACAGGCACCTCAGCTTTGAGAATAAACTAATTTCAGGTTCTACATGCTATTTTTTTACATGATTTACATTTGTACATGATTTACATTTGTTTGCCTTTTGGGTTCTCATACCCAGATACAAAAAAAACAGCAATAAGTGACCTTAGGGTCATACATTCAAGTTCAGTTTCTAAACTTTTATAAGTCAGAATTATGATGTTATAATTACTGTATTGGTTATGTAGCTGATGAATAATAGCTGCTAAGACCTCTTCATGCCTTAGGATGGCTGGCAGTACTGTGTACATTAATCTTTAATTAGAAATAGACTGATCCATTTTTCCAGTAAAGCAAAGGAAAGAAAATGGAGTAGGTATAGATGGTACAGCTCTTCATACTATAACTGAAGCAGCACTCAAAACCATCTGAACAGCTTTTTAGTGGACACAACTGGACATGAAAAGTATGTCACAAGGATGTGCACTTCACAAGTACATTGCACATGGTTAACAAAGAGTAAATATTTGCCAGTCCTCCCAGTTTGGCCCCTCCTGCTGCTGTGCATTACCTTCTCACAGAGGCAGTAGTACCAGATTTTGCTGTTGGCTGCTGCTGTCACCCTCTCTCTGTTCAGCCCACTGCAGACAGCCAATTGCCTCCCCTGTAACACTGGAAATATTAATAGTGGGTTTATGTTCCAGGACAGCACCTTTTTAGCTGAACGGCCTTCAGCAGATGAATCAACTGTCAGCAATACCTTGCCCTTTGATTTCACCAAACCAGATTCCACTTCCGATAGTGAACAGTCCAATGACAATGAAATCCGGCCAAGACCAGAAAATCTGGACTCTGAGGCCAGTTTGGCACCTGAAGCTCCGCTCTCCTCAGAGGCTGACATCACTTCACTGCCTGATGGGCTGAATTTAGAGGATGGGAATCAGAGTCCTCATTTGGTCACTACACCAGTGTTAGGGCCTGATTCTGTGGACTCTCTGGAATGGCTTTCAGCCTCCAATTCTTTGGATGGTAAGTTAATGCCATTGCCTGAAATTTTAATTTGGATGATAATGTTTCCTGATACTCACCAAATGTATAGTTCACAAAAAAGACCCTTCAGAAAGGTCTAAAAATTTTTATATCCTTCTCTGAAAATGTTTAACCTTTCCTGTATGCATGTATCCAAGAACAACAAGCTAAGATTAAGTTTTTGTGACAGCCTAATATTGCCTGTTTATCCCTTCAGCAATTGGTATGCACGTGATACTTGTTTAATTGCACAGAAGTGTTCTCATGTAGGGCAATTTCAGATGATGCCATGTAGAGATAACAGATCTTTCAAGTAGACTGACTAGCCTAGGGACACACCACACAGGTACTGCATTATTGCTTACTCTGCAGTCTTGACTTGGCCCATAGAATATCTGAAAGGAAAGAGTAGAAGAGGTCCACAGGGGTCCTTCCAACTTTGGAATACAAAGGTGAGGATATATCAGGAGAAACATGCTGAACACAGATCTGCAGACAATAAAATAAATGGAAGTTGACACTTTTAATTATAAACAACAACTCCTGCTTCATTCTCCTGGAGAAACTGTCTGCTAATGGCTTGGTTGAGTGTACACTTTGCTGGGTAAAAAGCTGGCTGGCTAGGTGAAAAGAGTTGAGGTGAGTGGAGTTCAACCCACGGCCAGTCATAAGTGGTGTTCCCCAGAGCTCAGTGTTTGGGCCAGTTTTGTTTAGTATCTTCATTAATGATCTGAATTAGGGGATTGAGTGCATCCTCAGTAAGTTTGCAGATGACACCAAGTTGGGCAGGAGTGTGAGGGTAGGAAGGCTCTACAGGGGGACCTGGACAGGCTGGATTAATGGGCCCGAGCCAATTGTATGAGGTTCAACAAGACCAAGTGCCAGGTCCTGCACCTGGGTCACAACAAACCCATGCTACAGGCTGGGGGAGGAGTGGCTGGAAAGCTGCCCAGAGGAAAAGGACCTGGGGGTGTTGATCGACACCTTGCTGTTGAAGGGGTTGAAAGGGACCTTTAAAGGTCATCTAGCCCAGCACCCCCTGCAGTGCCCAGTGACTTTTTTGACTAGATCAGGTTGCTCAGAGCTTTGTCAAGCCTGGCCTTGAATGTTTTCAGTGGTGGGGCCTCCACCACCACTGTGGGCAACTTGTTACAGTGCTTCACTGCCATCATAGTGAAGAACTTCTTCCTGATATCCAATCTGAATCTAGCCTGCTCTAACCTAAGGCCATTCCCCCCTTGGCCTATTGCTACACGTCCTTCTGAATAGTCCTTCCTCAGCTTTCCTGTAGTCCCTTCAGGTACTGGAAGGCTGCTATAAGGTCTCCTCAGAGCCTTCTCCTCTTCAGTCTGAACAACCTCTGTCAGCCTGTCTTCATAGGAGAAGTGGTCCAGCTCTCAGACCAACCCCGTGGCCCTTCTTTGGACCCACTTCAACAGGTTCATGTCCCTCTTGTGTTGAGGACTCCAGAACTGGACACAGTACACCAGGTGGGGTCCCACAAGAGCAAATTGGGTGTTAGGAAATATTTCTTCATTGAAAGGGTTGTCAGGCAATGGAACAGGTTGCTCAGGGTTTAGTCACCATCTCTGGAGGTATTTAAAAGACATGTAGATGGGACACTTAGGAACATGGTTTAGTGGTGGACCTGGAAGTGTTAGTTTACAGTTGGATTCAAATTATCTTAAAGGTCTTTTCCAACTTAAACTATTCTAATTGGAATGCTATTTTTAGTGTTTGAAGATACTGGACTATCTGAAGATCTTCTGTTGCCTTCAAGTCCTCCATACCTCGTGCCTGAAGAACCTCCATCTACAGATGATTATGCAGTTCCTCCACTTCCTGCACCAACAGTGGCCTCTTCATCAGTCGTAGAGACTGATATTAAAGTATCTGCTGAGGAAGAAGAAGTAACTCAGGGAAGTCCTGCAGGCAGTAACAATGCAGACTCTGTGCTGCATGAGTCTGTGGAAGAAACTGGTTTTCCCTTAGAAGTGCAGCCTATGGAAGAGGAAACTGATATATATCTTGGAGACAAAGTTGTATATGATGATGGGTCTGGTTCAGCTTTTGATGGTTCGGGAAAAGAAATGGAATCAAGTATTTGGCCTTGGGGAGAAGCAACACTGGAACCAGTTTTCTACCCTGGTCCTGATAGCTGGCTTGAAGGTGACAGTGAGTCTTCATTAATCAAAACTGAGGATATTCCTGAAGGCATGAATTTAGATTATATTCTTAATTCTGGGAATAAATTAGATTATGATCCTTCCAAAGATGATGATGAAGGTATGGCCAATTTCCTTGATGAGTCTGAAATATTTGTCTTTCCAGAGACTACAACTCAGCAGATACCTCTGTTACAGACAGAAGAACCATCATCCATGGAACCATCTACACAGACAGAAACATCGACCATGTACACTTCTTCTTTTGTTAAACCTACCTTGGTTTTGGAGCCTTCAGTGGACCATTCCTTTGTCAACATGCCAACTGGAGAGGGTCCTGTCTCACCACACAATACGGATTTGTCTGTGGAAGAAGGCATTCTTCCATCTGCAGGGACAGTCAATACGGAGCAACCTGAAGGGTTCAGTGTAGGTCAGAACATAATTTCTGAAGCAGTTGAACAGCAAAATGAAGACAGGACAATGGTAGAAGAACTATTCACAGTGGGGCAATCAGATGTAACTGAAGCTGCTGCAGTAGGCCACTTAGATACAAGTTATTCAGAAACTATTCTGACTGAAGGTGCTTTCACAGTAAATCCAGATGCTTTCACAGAAAACCCCAATGCTTTCACAGAAAACCCCAACGCTTTCACAGAAAAACCCGATGCTTTCACAGAAGAACTGCAAACTCTAGATTCATCAGTGGCAGGCCAAGACACTACTGGATCTGCAGTGAAGAAACCAGCTGATGTTTGGCCTACTGATAGAAGACTAGAAAACTCATTAGATCAGACAGCACAATCAGCAACGTTGACTGCCACTCAAGTTTCAACTGCAGTTACTTCTGTAATAGATCAGAACACTGTTTTAGAGGGCTTCACTGTGCAGGAAGCTACAGACCATGACACGCATGTTTCCATGACCTTCAGTACTGTTACAAACTCTTATGTAATGAGTGTAACAACATTACCTGTTGAGTTTCTGTCCCGACTCCCTCCTGTGGGATCTATGGCATCATCACCTGTGGCTACCTCAACAAAGCTGGGAGATGAAACAACAAGAGTCCTGGATGTTTCAGTAGACCTGGATCATGTGAGCACTGTCCAATTTTCTCCTGAGCTAACTGAGGAGGGAAGGAGAATGACTGAAGGTCACGTGGAGCTAACAACGCGTGTCCAGTCCACACAGATGGCAGGTGTGGCTTGGGCCACACATGAAAATCATGATAGCACTACTGTCCCATCACGAGCTCTAGTTGTGTTTTTTAGTCTTCGGGTTACCAACATGATGTTTTCAGAGGATCTGTTCAATAAAAACTCTCCTGAATATAAAGCATTGGAGCAGCGATTCTTGGAACTGGTAAGAATCAATTCTATGCTTAATGTCTGTGACCAGATAGATAAAAAATGTTGGTAGTTTGTTGACTCTCTTTTGCAGAGAGCAACACAGGACTGCTGTTTTATAGATATTATTTATGTCTCTCCCTGGGAAAATTCTGTCTGGAAATGGGGGTGTGTTGGGGGGTTTGTTGTTTTTTGTTTTATTCAGTTCAGTAGTCTCTCTAAAGCTTAACTTTTTAGGGCAGTGGGCCAGATGCTCTGCTGGTGCCAAGAAATGTAGCAGTGTAGCTGAAGTCAGTATGGCACTCTCCTTGCTTGCTTCCTGAGTGCTCCATATCTAGTCTACAGGGAGAAGGCAGTAAATAAATTGGGGCTGTAAGGAGGTAACTTTTCTGCAACACATTCAACCCATCCTAAGTAAGGGATAGTTCAGGGAACTAAGCTGTTACTAAACTGGCTGGTGACTAGCAAGGCCTCACAGGAGTTATCCAGCAAAAATTGCTGAAATTTAATTAGGAAATTACCCTCTCCTGACTGAAATGAGTATTTTGTTGTGGGAGATGAAGGGAGAAAAGAAGAGAAAGGGAAGGGGGACATGCTTGAAGGAAATACCCTGTGAAACAGTGAGTATGCTTGGTGCTTAGATCAAAGGAGAACACCATGTGTGTCCTGAGAATTGTATTTCTGAATTGTAGATTTTTTGGAAACTCTCTGAAATTGCTGTACTCTTAAGAACTGTCTGAAGTGCTCAGGGTCCTGGCAGGCTGCCAGCACAAACCTCCCTTGGGTACAGTTTTAATACCCTTGCTGTGGGATTTGAAGAAAATCATTCAGACTCCTGCTGTCTGATGCAGTAGCAGTGTGACTGGCTTGAGTTAGAGATTCAAAGACTGAAGTTTTTTGTCACACATCCCCTGTGTTGCAGCTGGTGCCCTACCTTCAGTCTAATCTGACAGGCTTCCAGAACCTAGAAATCCTGAACTTCAGAAATGGCAGCATCGTGGTGAATAGTCGAATGAAATTTGCCAAACCTGTGCCTCGGAATGTCACTAATGCTGTGTACATGATCCTGGAAGACTTCTGCAATACTGCCTATCACACCATGAACCTGGCCATTGATAAATATTCCCTGGATGTGGAATCAGGTAAGGATGGCAGGGAAATACAGTATAGAGCAAGGAATTTACAATGATGTCTGTTTTAAGAACTTACGGAGGATCCCAGCAGCTCAGAGTGTGCTCACTGCTTTTCAGAGTCTGGGCTTTAGAAAGACTGTCCTTCACAGAGTTCCAGCAAACAAATACAAATGTTTTAAGGGGCTAAAACTGAAAATAGAGTGGGATCCAGACTAAGCAAATGCTATAGGGCCCATATAGAAATATGGGGACAAAATCGGCTCAGGTAATACTGTAAATAACATCACTGCACTTTCACTGGGGAGTGAGGGGAAGGCTGGTCAGGGAGAATATTCACATGATTGTTCCCACAGCTGATAGCCAGTTTAGCTGCCAGGTAGGCACCTGCACAGGTAACAGGTGCTGACTCACTGCTGTGGTAAGGTCTTGGTTGCACTGAAGAGTTACAAGCCTTCTTAGTTCACTCTAAGACAGGGAGAAAGTTTCTTCCCCATCCAAGGCATCTAGTAGAAGCATACCATAGAAGCAATCAGGAAATATTTCTGGTTTTAGGGTTAGAAAAAGTAACAATGCTGACCTGTTGGCAAATGGTAGCTGTTCTTCTGAGCTGGCTTTCTTATAAAGATGGTCTAACTAGCTTGACGAATCTTACACTATTGATTATTAACTGTAGGCCAGCCCTCTTAAGCTTGATGCAAGGGAAATCTCTCAAATGCTACAAGCTTATGTTCCCAGCAGACAAAGGCAAATCAGCACTTTGTAGGTGCTGAGTGCTCAAAGTCCCCTTGCCCTTCCCTGTACACTGCCTAGATTTTTCTATAACAAGCAATACTGGTCATCAGCTGTTTTACTCACTTGCAAAAATATAGCTCCAGCAGACAGGAGAACAGCTGAGGCACTGCACGTTGCATCAAGGAAAGAACACTTTACACTTGCTTTTTTGTTTGTTTTTTTGGGTGGTCTGAGCCATGCCACTGTCATGCACTGCGCAGACTGCAGAACACTTCCTCGTGCTTGCTCACCTTAGCAGACCCTTTTTGTTACTCAGGAAGGATGCAGGCTGGATTGTTGCAGATGATTTTAATTACAAGACCATTGGAGCAAATGGCAGCAGCCAGCCAGCAATTTGCCTCAGTGCAGGTTCTTCTCCATCATTAACGTTTTCTGCTTTGTGTATTCTCAGGGGAGCAAGCAGATCCCTGCAAATTCCAGGCCTGCAATGAGTTCTCTGAATGCTTAGTAAATCGCTGGAGTGGGGAAGCTGAGTGTGTCTGCAATCCTGGCTACCTGAGCATTGACGGGCTGCCGTGCAACAGCATTTGTGACCTGCAGCCAAACTTCTGCCTCAACGACGGGAAGTGCGACATAAGCCCAGGGCAAGGGGCCATCTGTAGGTGGGTGTCCCTGCTGTTTGAAGTATGTGCTTCCTGTATGAAATCCCCTGATCGTCTCCTCTGTTGTGGCATTTGAGGAGATTTCTGTAAAAATTCTGCAAGAGAACGTGTAACAAGTGAGATGATAGTAATTAGCATTCCTGTTATGCTGCTGAGTGGAGGTCCCAATGTTAACGTTAGTTTTCCTATGGGTATATTGGAAGTGAGATGGTAACAAATGTCTTTAATAGAATAGAAACATCAGGAAATAAAACATACTGGGAAAAAGGGTAGTAATGGAACACACTCAGTTCTTCAAATCACCTTTGTTGACCTTTGAGAACACGACTTATCTCCAGAGGTTTTCTCAAGTTACAAAGCATTATATAGTGTCATAAATCATATGAGAGTTAATTCCATCCCAAAGATTCGTATCTAAAAGACTTATTCAGAGCATATAAACATGTAAAAAGTTAGGCTTTCAGTTAAGAAAGTGTCATAAAAGTATATCATTGGCCATTTGGGAAAAATTGTGTGGTTCATAAGAAGATTAAAGCACAGGCCTCCTGGTTCAAATTTTTGCTTTTAAAAAGATGCAGATGCATTTGAACAGGATCTCTGTATTTTACAGTTAATGGAAAAAACCTAGAACAAGATATAGACAAATCAATGCTCCCTCTGACATGGCACTTATTTTTTCCTTTTCAAACAATATAACAGTCCATTTTTTAAAACAAAATACACCTAGCAACAAAAGGGAGGAGAGCTATTGCAAAAAAAAAAAAAAAAAAAAAGAATATGACTACTAGCAGTTATTATTTATGTTATTTCAGGTGATTTTTAAAAAAAGCTTACCTAGAATGTCACTTAAGTCAACCTTAGAGTACTAACAGTTAATATGAAAAACAAAATATGTTTTTAAAGCTACAATAAAAAAGATACTATCACAGATATAGCCTAAATTTTATCTTATTTGTACAATAGTGTTAATTAGAAACAGGTAAGTATCTGAACTCAAGCATGATCTGGACAGTATTTATTAAGAATCTTTTGAAAAAATTAAAGTATTGCTTACTATTTTCAGAAACTCAGATATTTATACATAAAGTATTATACATAAAGTCAGTATTAACATTGAACTTCTCCTGTTAAAAAGCACAGCAAGGCAGAAATACTGAATGCTGTTCTGGGCAAACTTGGACACAAGCTTCTTCCTAGTATTTTATTAATTTAGCTAACCATTGTGGACTTCACCAGACTATAAACATTCTGCTTGTTTAATACACCTTCATTTATATTAACATTACAACATGATTAAGACAACTGCTGTCTAACTTTTACAGTATTTGATATGTCATGTGCAAGGTTCAATCAAGGCATACATTTTTACTTAGTCTAAAAACCTTCCAGTTTAAACACATCGTGGGATAGTCTAAATTGCAAAAACCATAGGGTTTTTCCATGACAAATGCATTATTGTTTTATTATTTTACCTGTCTTTCTTAATTTCTGTAATTGGGCTTGTTCAGACTGTGAATGTTTCCAGACCTTATGGTCTTTCAGTACTTAAAGGGGGCCTATAAGAAAGATGGGGAGAAACCTTTTAGCAGGGCCTGTTGCAATAGAACAAGGGCTAATGCTTTTAAACGAAGATACCAGATATTCAGACTGGATGTAACGAAGAAATTCTTTATGCTGAGAGGAGCGAATCACTGTAACAGGTTGCCCAGACAGGTGATAGAAGCTCCATGCCTCGAAACATTCACAGTCAGGTTGGATAGGGCTCTGAGCAACCTGGTCTGATTGAAGATATCCCAGCTTACTGCAGGGGGGATTGACTAGATGGCCTTTCAGTGTCCTTTCCAACACAAACAATTCAATGATTCTACACCAAATAGGCTGTTCACAATAATAATATAAGAAAGTTGGTGCTTGAACACTCAAAGGTATTTATTGAGGTGACTTAACATCCTAACAGGGAGTCAAAAGCATTTACATTAACCAAAGCTTTTGCTGATGTTTAACTTTCCCACATTTTGTTTTTGCAGGTGTCGTGTGGGAGAGAACTGGTGGTACAGAGGAGAGCACTGTGAAGAATACGTGTCTGAGCCACTGGTCGTGGGTATTGCAATTGCTTCTGTGGCAGGGTTCCTTCTTGTGGCATCTGCTGTCATCTTCTTCTTGGCCAGGACCCTTCGAGACCAGTACACAAAGAGTGACACGGAGGAATCACAAGGGTAAACAACACCATCTAGTATTTAAAACACATATGCTACAGTGAAGAGAATTCTTTTCTATTTCTTATATCACGCTGTCTACAGGCATTTCCAGATGCCAGGCTTCCTAAATCTACCTACTGCCCTTCCAGGCTGCAGAGAAGCTTACAGTTTGTTTTTTGCTCCCCCAGGCAGGGTGACAGCCTCTCGTCCATTGAGAAAGCAGTCAAATACAACCCCATGTACGAAAGTGATACAACCGGCTACAGCCATTATTATCGGAGATACCCTCAGCTAACATCCTACAGTTCCACCAGTGCAGAGACCTCCACAGACTACAGCAGTGAAGAGATCAGGCACATTTATGAAAACAGTGAACTTACTAAGGAGGTAAATGACCTTGTGTTCATCGTGGCATGGAAAAGATCATGTGAACAATAAGTTTATGCCACACTTGTAACCTGAGAGGTGGGCCAAATCTTTCCCCAGTGTCTAGATAAACAGGTTGAAACTATGGCTGTTGAAATTATTTAAGAGAGGAGAGAATGGATTTATTTCCTTGGTTGTTATTAGGTATCCAGAAAAGAATGGGTGTGTTCTGACCTCTAATGAATTTCACATGATAAAGGAGATGACTACTTAAGTAACATCATGGAAATGGAGGAGGTTTGCTGCTGTATTGCTCAACGTACCCTTAATTATGTAAGAGTAGTCATGCAGTGAAAACTTGGCACATACAGGCCATTTTACAGTTTGGTGGTTTTTTTTGTTTGTTTGTTTGTTTTTTAAGTTTAGATGTTTTTATAACCTGCAAGTTAAATCACATCCTTCTTTCCTCCTGTATACACGGGACTCTCTAGAAGGCTAAAGAGAAGGGATTTACATCTGGGAACTCACCACAGACCCTTAAGAAACAGAGAGGTGTGAACCTAGCCTAGAGCTGGGCTTGTAGGCAAAGTATCTATGACAGATACATGTTTTTTTTAAAGCCTGTTGAAATGTCACACTCTGTCCAAACCCTGGTTTTCATTTTAAAGTTAAGTATTACCAGATACCGATGAAGTGCTTCACTTGAAAAAATAGTGTAAAGAAGAATTACAGTATTGGAGTGCTCAATAGCAAACCATAGGATTTGTAAAAAACAATGAAATAAGTTATTTTAGTAGTGTCCTCATGCCTGTTATGTACTTACAATTGTGTTTCTTGTGTTCTAGGAAATTCAGGACAGAATCCGAATTATAGAGCTCTACGCTAAAGACCGTCAGTTTGCAGAGTTTGTTAGGCAGCATCAAATGTGAGTCTTGGCTGGGTAACTCTGATGTTTTCTCGTGGGGCCTTTACTACATTACTGTATTTTTCCTCTGAGGGATCTAGAAATGCTGAGACACTAAAGGCTAATATTTCAACGTTATTTTTTTTAAGAGGTGCTCTTAAAGTACTTAAAATAATGAGTCTCAAAAATAGCCACAGAAGGTATGTTAAAAGCAGTGAAGAGAAATCCCAAAGTTAATGGGTGTCAGAGAAGCACCTGACATGTATGTGGCTCCTTGAAAGCACAGACAGAACCTTCTTAGCTCTTCCACTGTAGTTACTATTGCCTAGTGTTCTATTTAAACTCGAATTTTAAAAGCATGTTATTTCTTTTGAGTTCTCAAGACTTGGCAACTAACCAAAAATCAACAGATCACTAGTACAACCCTGTCTGGTATGATGGGCACCTACCACAATAGAAAACTTACATTTCCAAACAATAAACCAAGCTGAGCAGCATGCTTTGATGAAAGTTACCCATGAAGAAGGCCATCAATGACATAATTATTAGCATACACACTCCTATGAACTGTATTGTCTCTGCAGCATGCAGCAAATTACCGCTAGCTGGGTTAGTTTGAAAGACACTGTAGTACAATCCCTTGGAATTCTATGAACAATAGCTACAGTAGCAAAAGTCTTGTGTTCCAAGATCATCAATTATACTTTTTTTAAAAAACTGAAAATAACAGCAGTTCACATTTTTCCAGGTCAAATGCTCATTTTTTTAATCTTGAAAAAGATCAACATCAGAATTTTCCACAGATGGAAAGTAGTAAGAGCTGAAAGTAGTAAGCCTTGAATCCAGCGTTTGAAAGAGACTAACGTAATCATTGCTTTTCTGTTTTTCATTTCAGGAAGCTGCTTTAAGAAGAAAAGAAATCAACAGAAAGCTTTTGGGAGATAAAAACTACCTTGTTGCCATAGCAGTGGGCTCAGATGTAACTGCAAAGTTACTTAAAGTCTTAACATTGCGTGGATGGATACAGATGTTTTCTAAATGAATGGCTAAAATGTACAGATGTCTGTTTATCTCTATTACTTCTGGCTGTTCTGCATAAAGTGACATTTTTAAGAGGTGATCAGAAGTGGCAGAGGTTATGAAAGTTCATTTTTCTATAGCTCTTAAACAGGCAGTGAAAGTTCGTATACCAAGGCAAAAATTTTTCTCAGCTAAGAGAAGATACTTGCACAATCAAAATATGAAGCACATTAAAAATCCCTGCCTGGCATTTCTCCCCTCACTGGAGGCTACTAGCCATTTCACAGGTATGAAGCACTAGTGGGAAGATAGTTTTGGTTTGCACACGAGTGATTTGTAGGGGAGACCTATTGTGCTAGAATGATGTTAGCATTCTCCTAAAGCATTCCCCATATAAACATCATCTCACTGGAAAAATACTTTTTGTGTACAGATGCCTGATGTACATTTTGTCACCTGGCATTAGCAAAATAGAACTCAGCACTGAGCCTGCAGGCCTCCTAAAGGCTCTCCACAACCACAGGCATCACCACTGCCTGTCAGTGACCCCACGGGGCACCTCAGCAAGGCAGGGCAGTACTTCTGCAGTACAGTGCAGTGTTTTTACAGCCAAGGTGGTTGGTTCTCCAGCTGTTCCTGACAGACACACAAGCTGGGGTGCAGAAGGGCTTCTGTCCTACAAATGTTCTGTCAAGCTTAAGGGACTAACATTGACTTTTTTTTTAAAATGTAGACAATTTGTTTGATATTTTGTAAGTTAATATGTATTATTTATTTGTTGTGTGTTTGCCTACCAGCTTATTTTCATAGTGGATTTAAATGTTGAAATAGAAAGATGAATAGGTTACTGATTAAATACTACAGTGGCATTTGTGCCCATCCTTTTCTAAAATACATTTAGTATTTACTCAGTGTTGAATTCAGCCAATGAATATTTGAATTTCCTTCATTGAACTGGGCAACAGCCTGCCATGAGCTGTTTCAAAATCAGGCTATGGTGTTTAAGTGCATGCCTATTTGGGATGGCAGCACTTTCCTATGGGGAAGGGAAAAAAATGAGATTATTCTTGGCTTAGTGCAAGTCAGTGTAGAATTTCTTAAACAAGAGAAATCAGCCTTGAAGGATCTCTGAGGTACAGAAATGGAGTTTTATTTTCAGGTTATGAAGAGAGTTCTGACAATGTGTTGGGGTGTATTTGGGCTCTGTTCAGTCACCCAGTGTCTCTTGTTTAAGGCATTAATTCACACAACTTGTCAGGGTTAGGGCTCTAATAGTCTTACAGTAGGTTCTGCTAGCAAAGAAGGCCAAGTTACCTGTTATTTTTACAGAGTCTGCAGTTCTCGGCCCACATGTGCCAACAGCCACCTGATACTTTAGGGAGTTAAATGACAGTGAGAATCACTTACTTGTCTATAGGCAGCTTAGCTAAACAAGCAAATATTTCAATGCAATAATACTACGTGTTCTGGAGAACTTCACTGGATCACTTGCATATTTTCTTGCCTTGAGTGGCAGGGAATGGGTATCAGAGCCATGAATCTGTCAAAGAAATGCTTACATAAACCACTGTAAGCCCAAATAACCCAAGATAGCAGAAAGTAATACGGTGCTGCTGAGCACTGTCAGGACTAGATGTCAGGAGACAGAGGCCCCATTGTGCAGGGTGACCCAAGGGCTCTAAGAGCAGCTGGTCCAGAGCTCCTGAGGCACAGCCCACTGGCTGCGTCCCGCCCTGCAGCAGCGTGGCTGAGCCATCCTGCTACACCAGGGCCTTCTGACCACGGGAACGCTACAACGCCCAGGGCCGGCACCAACCTGTGACTTGCTCTTGTGCAGCTGAGCTGCCAGCCCTGCGAGCTTCGGTGCTGCTCCTGCTAAGTGCAGCAGTGCATGGCAGCTGGGATCAGGCACATTTTAAAGGTATTACACTATTTACTGTGTGCAAATTAAGGAACGTCTTGGTTACACAGAGCATGAGGTATTTCCGTGTATATACAGTGAATCTTTTCTGTGTGTGTGTATAAATATGAACATAATGGTCTCTCATTTTCACTACAATAAACATTATTTCCAAAATATTTTTTGTCCTAAAATTAATGCAGAGGCTATAAGATTGATATGAAGAGAGATGGTATCTTAGCCATGTAGGATCACAAAGCTTGGGGTTTTTAAACACAGTTGGTTAAACTGTTACACTCCTTTGCTAAAAAAAAAAGGGACCAAATATAGTTTATTATTGCTTGCAAGGCTATGTTTTGAAAGTTCGTGCTGGAAAGCACCTAATTGAGTGCTTTGCTTTCAATTAAGCTCTTTTCCCATTTTGAAGATGTTTCGGCTCTAATCAAAGAGCTGAAACATGTTGTTACTTAGGTGATCTTGAAGTCGTAAAAACAAAAACAAACAACACCCCCTTCAAACCTCTTCATCTACACTGCTTGATGATGCATCTTACAAAATGCCAAGAAGAGCTTCAAAATTTTTTTAAAAAATAAATCCATCCAAACCAGCTCTGTGTACAGATCTACTAGCACTTGTTATCAGTTAGCATGCAGTTTTTTACTTGCTAAAAGTAAAAAGCACAGGTTTGAGTCACTTGGCCTAATTTAAGAATGAGGAAAAAAGCAGTTATTGTTTACTGAACACTCACAGTTCTATCAGCTTCAGTGGTCCCCCTCAAGGCTTGAAAAACAGAAGAAAGCAAGGCCTTGCAGGACACTGCCCACAGCCCCTTTTAGCAGGATCTCACGCTTACAACAACACCTGTTAAATCATTGGGTGTAAGCTCTCCCTATTACACCTCAAGACACCAGTGCACAGTGATAGAATTCTACCATGGCTGGAAATTCAAACAGAGATGATCAGAGGGCTGAAGCACCACTCTTGTGGAGACAGGCTGAGGGATTTGGGGCTTCTCAGCCTGGAGAAGACTTTGGGGAGACCTAATAGTGTCCTTCCAGTATGTGAAGGGGCTACAGGAAAGCTGGGGAAGGACTTTTTACAAGGACATTTAGCGATAAGATGAGGAGGAAGCAGTTCAAACTGAAAGAGAGTAGTTTTAGACTAGATGTTAGGAAGAAAGTCGTTAGTGTGAGGATGGTGAGACACTGGCACAGGTTGCCCAGGAAAGCTGTGGCTTCCCCCTCCCTGGAAGTGTTCAAGGCCAGGCTGGATTGGTCTCCGAGCAACCTGGTTTAGTGAGAGGTGTCCCTATCCATGCAGGGGGATTGGAACTAGGTGATCTTTAAGGTCCTTTCCAACCCAAACTATTCTATGATTCAGAGGTGCAAGACTAACTGAATTTCAGGGACTGTGTGCTTGCTTTTTATCTGGTAGCTTTTTAGCAAAGGACAGAGCCTTGTCCACCAAGAAGATATTCTTCATATCTTTTAGCAATTCAGTTAAGGGCCAGCCTGTGGGCCTTACGTACCTCTGAGTAACAGTTTGGTCCCAGAAAATGGGTTTCTTCAGGTCCTCAGAGATTGCTAAAAATAAGATTTTCTCCTATCTCCTCTAAAACAAGGAAGCATGGCCAAAGTTTTGATGTTTATGAAGTTATTATTCATGTTCCTCATAAGACCTGCTGGAATTGGTTCTTGTGAAAGGCTGCAAAGGCAGCATGGGAGGACTCCACACACTCTTCCACACAGAGTCTATGAAGAGCAGGCGTGCTAGAACTCCAGCACAGGGACAGTCATCTCATCCTATTAAAACACAAAGCAAAAATATTCACAAACATCAGTTTACCTGTCTATCTGTAAGCACTGTAGGACAGGCACAGACTGACTTTGTACAGCACAGAAAATGTGATAGGCCATTGTTACTATTTAAATATTAGTTGAAAGCACATGACAATTTCATAGCATTTTGTTTACTAAAGTGCACTGTAACACCAGCAGCATTTCTGTCTTACCTTTCCACTACTTCATCCAGTTTGAGAACAGATGTTTAACGTTCTACATAACACACATCAATTTGTTCTGGTTTCTAAAGTGAAAAACTAATCT